AATTTATAAATATGGACTTAGTAACTTAAAACTTTATTCTATAATAATTCTATGAAATAAATAAAAAATACTTATTAAGTTTAAGCTATTTAGAATATTTTATTAATTTAAGGCTTTTTAAATAGGAAAATAAAAAATTTAAAATATTTTTATTCCTTTTTATGATTTCATTAATAATTTTTCTATAAAAAGATTATTCACATTTATAAAAAACTTTTTATATTATTTTTGTTTTACTATTTATTTTTATTCTTATTTAACTTTATTTTATTTATTTTAAAAAAGAATTTAATATTAGTATAAATAATGGTAACAAATAGAATTTAAGTTAATTTTAAAGTAAACTATTTCAAGGCTATTTAGATTAATTAGAATAAAATAAATAAAATCTTATGCAAAGAAAATAATTAGAATAAAGAAAATTATAAGTTTTTAAGATTACTAAATAAAAATTAGAAAAAGATCTTTAAATTTTATAAAAATAATTAAAGTGAAATTTAATAACAAAAAAATAATATTTATAATATATTTATATATATGTATTATTTTAAATTATACATTAATCCAAAAATAATAATAATAATAAAAATATTTATCTATATATAAGTAATTAAGTATATAAAAGCTTTATTTTAATTATTATATTGTTAAAATAATATTCTCCAAAGTAAAATAAAAATGAATAATAATAAAAATATCTGTTAGAAATTTTTATTAACTCGTATTAAAATAAATATATTATTGAAATTATTTATAATTATATAATAATAATAATTAATATAATTTAATAAAATTATAAATTTATTATATTATATTATAATAAATAAAAATATTAATCCAAACACTATATATATATATAATTTATTTTCTAGTTTAAATATATAATTAATATTTAATGAAGTTAATGTAATATATAATAAGTTGAAAAAATAAATTTATTATAATTATGGATATCTAAAATCTTTCTTTCTAAAAAATAATTAAAATAAAATCATTCATTACTTTTTTTTATGAAAAATTAAATTGTATATATAAAATATTAAAAAAAATTAATTATTTATATTTTTACATTTAATTAATATATTATTTATATCAATGCATGACTTATCAAAATTTAATATTATAATTATTTTAGATATAATAATAAATTTATAATTTTAAAAAAAAATTATATATTATTGAAAAATGAATTAAAAGATTAAATATAAAAAAACGCCATTATAAATTTTTAAATATTATATAAATAAGCACCAAAATTAAACAATATTTTTTATTATAGAATTAAAAAATTAATTCAAATAATTTATTTTTTAATAAAGGCTAAAATTATAGTTGTATTAATTAAATAATTACCTACATTGAATATTATTAATATATTTTAATGATAAAATTAAATATTATAAATTTATGTATTTATTATTTTTCAAATATAATATATTTTTATATTAATATTTTTTTATATTTATAAAAACTATACAATTTTTGTTATTGAATTCTATAAATTTTTAAAAACTATGCCTTTACAGGATAATAAATTAAGGTTAAAATTAGAGAGTGTTGATGATTTAAACATTGAAATTAATGAGGATAACTGTAAAGATATTGAAATTAACCTTGAGTTATTAAAAAAACTAATTTTAACATAAAAATTAAAATATTAAAATATAAAGATACTGCAATTTAGGGAATGAAAACTTTGGAATATTAACCAATTTTTTGAAAAAATTCTAATTTACTTAAATATTTTCAATAAACTTAAAGTAATTTACTAATTTTTTAATAAATTTTAGAAAAATAATTATTTATTTTTTATAATTAATTTCTAATATTTTTTTACAAAATAATTTATAAATTTATTTGAAATTAGAAAAAATCATTTGAAAAATTAATAAGCAATAGAGTTGGTTTAAATAATCACAAATTTAAAATATTTAGTTAATCTAAATTTGAATTTATAGTAAATTATTTATATATCAATATTTAAAAGTATATTTTTTAATTATTTAGATTTAATAATATTAATAGCATAATTGAAATTTTCAATATTCTTAGTCGAAAAAATTAATTACTTTATCTCTAAATTGACATATCGTAAATTTAATTATATTTTTTTAAATAAACCACAAAAAATAAATTATTAAATAAAATTTATAGAGGCCTTAATCTTAATCCTTGTGAATTTTAAAATTTTTAAACTTTATTAGAAAATTTTAGTAATTTATAGAGTTTATCTTTTATAGCAAAGTAAACTATCTTTATTTGTTTAAAATTAACTTTAATAAAATTTAAAGTTAAAATAATATATGCTCAAATGGTTGCTAATATATATTTCAGTCAATAAGTTAACTTAAAAACTTAGAATAATTGAATATATCTTTAGAGTAAAAATTAAAAAATAAAATATTAAGAATTAAAAATAAAATAAGGAAAAATTAAATTTAAGGAAATGCATTAGAAAATCTAACTCATTAATTTAAAAATCTAAAAAATTTAAAAAAATTATGTATAAATCTATCAGAAAACCATATTAAGGATAATGGCTTAATTAACTTATCTAATTTAATTTATAATTTTGAGAATTTAATTTCAATTGATTTATATCTAAGGTTAAATTTTTATATTTTAAGAAATTAAAAAAAACTCTATTATTAAAGGTAAAATTTGATAAATAATGAAGGCTTTATTTATCTAATTAAATCAATTTCTAAAAATAAATCTAATCTGAAAGCTTTAAATTTATTTTTAGGGTAAATTATTTATATTAGATTTATTTATTTTTATCTTTTTAAATTTTTAGAAGAAATAATATAGATGAATAATTATCTTATTAATATTGTACATATTTAAATTAAATTAGTAGCTTAAACAAACTTACATTATTTTTAAAGTATGCTATATATATAAATTAATAATATATAATATTTTTAAAGTGATCCCAATTTGAACTTACTTAAAAAATAAATATAAAATAAGTAATGCATATATTAATAAGCTATTGTTTTTAATAGAATTATTTTGCCAAACTTATAATATATGCCTAATTATGTATTTTGGGAATTATATTACTGATGAATATATTTTTAACAGCAATTAATTAAAAAAAAAAATATCAAATAAAAATTATATTTTGATATAGCTTAATACATATATTTTTTTTTCTATATTAAAGATACATTTTTATTTATTTAAAATGAAAAACTTATATTAATTTTTTTATTTAAATTTAATATTTATTTTAGAAAAAAAAAAAAAAAAAATGTATATAAAAAAAAGAGATTATTAATAAATTTTAATTCACAAAAAGAAAAAAATAATTTTTTTCAATTAAAAAATAATTAAAATCTTTTAAATTTATCATTCTTACAACAAAATATATCAGCAAAATTAAACAAAAACTCTATCTAAAATTCATCTAAATAAAATATAAAAAAAAAAATAATATAAATAAAATACCTAATTTATATGCTAATCCAAATCCTGAAGACATCCTTATATTATTATATAAATGTTTTTATAATTACTAAGTCTAACTAGTAACCGGAGGTACAAAAGCACAAAATAGATGGATAAAAGGAATTACTTTAATAGCTTATAAAAACGGATAATTTAAGAAATACAACTTTAATTAATTAGATACATAATAGTTACTTCCAAAGTTAGATGAATTAATATTTTGGTCATTCATTCCAATATTTGAAAATCCAGGTAAATTTTTCATTATATATTTTTCATATAAATTAGCATTTTTATGATTAACTAAATATCCAATTTTAAACTAATTAAAAAAAAGGCAAAAAATATTATCTTAGAAAGCATTTTATAGAAACTTAGACCAACTATATTAATAATTTAATTTCAGAAAAGTATTTCTATATCTATCTATGCCTAACTTGCTTTGTAAAATAAGAGTTTTAATAGTATTATTTTATTCATTAAAAGGTTATTCTTTTACATATTTAGTACTAAAAATAAAATTTTAGTATTTATTAATAAGCTAATTATGAATATCTTGATTATTTTACACAACATTATCTGCATTTATGAATAATTCATTATGATATGAAGATGTTAAGACTGAAAAAGATAAATTAGGATACTTCAAAGGTTAAAATAAGCCTTTAAATTTATACTTAGAAGTTACCACGTCATTTAAAATTTAATTTTTTTAAAATTAAATTTTATATCCTTAATTATAAGTTTCTGGTGATAAAAAAGGAAGATTTAAATTCAAAAAAGCCTTATGATAACCAAATAAATCTTTACTTAGACAAAGCTAAATTTTCTCGCATTAAGAAAAAGTATTTAAAAATTATTAACTGAAATTAAAATAAAGAGATTATTTGGAAGAGCTTTAAAAATTAAAACCGTAAGTATATATTGGATTTTCCTTTATGTTAAAAATTAGATCTAATTCTTCATATTAATATTGAGTTCTCTGATTTTTTAGCTTTGCTTAAATTTAAATATTCTGAAAACATTCGGTTTTTTTAAATCTATTTAAAATCATGTTTTCTATTTTTTATGATAAATCTTGAAAAGAATTTGGCTTATTTTTTTAATTTAAATCTTAAGTAAGATAATTTAATATCCTTTTACTTGTCCTCAAGTTATTAAAATATTAAATATTTATGCTTTCTGGAAAACTTAGTTAATTTTCTTCATCTAATTGCTTTTGGATTAATTTATGTGGGTTATTGTATTCTTAATTGTTGATTTCTATAAAACTTTACATTTAGTTGTTGCTTAATTATTTTAAAATATTGAAAAATATTTTTTTATTTATAATTGGCAAAATTAAAAAAAAAATCTTTTTTTAATATAAAATAAAATATTATTATATATTTATTGTATAAAAATATTAAATAAAAACAAAAATTATAATAAAAAAAGACAATAAATAAAATTATAATAAACAAAAAAATATTTTAATAAAGAAAAAAAAATATATTAACAAAAATAAAAATCTATAAATATAAAAAATAAAAAAAACAACATAAAATTCATTCAGGATATTAATAATTAATAGCCATATCAAAATAAAACTCCACGTTCTTTTCCACAAAAGCTCTTTTAGCTTCTACTTCACTATCAGTTTCCATAGCTTTCCATTTATTAAACGAGTGATCTTTAACGACCCCTTCCCACACCAAAGCGCATTTATTATTCTATAATTCAGGTAAAGGCAAAGGATTTCCATTTTCATCCTTATCCAAATAACTACTTTTGTTCCATTTAATTCTTCTCAAAAGTAATTTTTTGTAAAACTTAATAGCTTTCGGTCCTCCCTCAACAATAATAATAGTAGGCATATTATTTTAATTTCTTCCATCCTAAGTAGCTACGGGGGTAACCAAAAGCCCATGTAATTATAATTGTTAGGCATTAATATCAACTTTAAACTTATGTACCCTATCTGTTAAGCTTTCTATCCTAAATAATGCCACTCTACACTCAATACCAGAATCACGTTTAAGTTTTCTAAGAAATTTATCTGCTTTCTATTCTTTAGTTAACTACCTTTGTTGGTTTCTCTTCAAGTGTGCTTAGAGTCTTTCAGATACGCCTTATCTGACTAATTGTTCCATTTTAGTAGGATCTGCAACTGTTTCGTTTGTTAGAACTCTCATCATGTTTGAGAGTTTAATTTTAGGAGGAGGAGGTTCTATTAATCCTAATTTAATTTTGTCTTGTTTTTCTTTTTCTTTTTCCATTCGGTGTCTTCTTCTTAGTTTTTTCCTTTCTTCTCTAGTTAAATATATAGGGATCACAACATTTTGATTTTAATTAGGTAAGCCTTCATTTTTAAAAGGCTTTGGGTGTTCGATTAAATTCGTGATTTTATCTTTTTTATATGTTTCAAAATTGTAAGCAAAATTTTCATCTTATAAATTTAAAAGTTAATTTTTAATAATTTCTAGATTATCCAAAACGTTTATATTAAGAGAATTTTCATTATGTGCATTAATATTATTATTATTATTATTATTATTATTATTATTATTATTATTATCATTATTATTATTATTATATAATTATTTTCTTATTATTAATTACTATTATCTAAAGGAAGATAATATCTTCTATTTTTATCAAAAAGAACTAAATCCCACCATTCTATATCAGGAATAGGATTATGATGTTTTTATTTTAAACTTTATTTTTTTTAATTTATGTATTGTAAATATCTACTATTACTTCTTTAAAATTCTTCTCTTCTATAATCTTCTTCTGTTTTTTAAATTAATTATTTAAAAGCCAAATTCTCATTAAAACTTTCTTTATTATTGTTTTCTATTTCCATCATTTATTAAATTTCTTTTTTAACTTCCATTTAATCTACTTCATCTAATTCTTCTGAATCTGTCTATTATCCTATATTAGGTACTGCCTCCATAAAATTTAATCCATGGACTTTTCTTTTTTCTCTTTTCATACTACTTGAAACTACAAGATTAGAATCATGAAAAACATATGAACTATTATAATTATTTAAAATATAAAATATTTTTTTTTTTACTTTTAAAAATTAGATAATTTCATCATTTTTTTAAGTTTTTCTTCTTAATTTTTTTATTTATTTATTTTTAATTGAGTTTTATTTTATTCGTAAACCACAGGATTTCCTTTTTCATCAACCAACTAGCCTTTTTCATCTAAACGGATTTTTTTTCTTTTTCATCAATTTTAAACTCTTCTTAAGCTTATTCATTTATTAAAATTTTTCCTTCTTTCAAAAGTTTGTCTATTTTTTTCTTTTTTTGCTCTTTTTTTTCCTTATATTCTTTAAGTTTTTAAATCTCCAGTTCTTATTTTGTTAAAGGTTATTTTTTTTCTATTCTTGCTCTTGCTTTTATTTTATTTATTATTCCTTTAATTTACTAGGGACTTAATTTTATTTTCTTAATTTTTCTAATCTTAAATTTTCTTCTTTTTATTTAAATAATCTTTCTTTTATTTAATCTACTTAGCTTTTTGATTTTTACTAATCATTTATTTGTTTATTATTCTAATCTTGTTTTTGGTCTTTTTCTTTTTCTATTTATTTTTATTCAAATTAATTTTTTACTTCTGATTTTTAATCTGGAACTGGTTCTGGTTCTTGCTTTTATTTCTATTATTACTATGTTTAAGGATTACGCATTGTAGACACTTATTACATACGAAGTTATGCGTAAGAAATATTACTTTATTTCAAAGATTAATATGAGATTTTTTATGCTCCTGATGAAGAAACTGCTATGTCGGCATTTGTTTTTATTTTTTTTTCTTATTAAGGTTCTTTGACTTGATTATCGAAATATCTTTTACTCATTTTTTATACTTTCTTTTTTTTTTATTAATAATTAAAAAAAATAATTCGAATATTATTTAGAAAATCTTTATAATTTTTTTTTTTTTAGATTAATAATTTCTTAAATATTTTTTTTTTATTTAATTTTTTTTATTTAAATTATTCTATGATAAAAAGCATTTTTTTGTCAAAATAAACTAAATACATTAAATAATTTTTTCGAAAAATTAAAAATTGAAAATTAAAATATTTTTCAGATATAAAAAACAATATTCTAAATATTATTTTTATTATTAAATTAAAATCATTAATAAAAAATCTTTCAAAGTATTTATTTATCTGATATAAAAGACTTAATATTTTACCCTTTACTCATCAAAAAATAATTTTCAAAATCTCCTCCCCACAGAAGTAATATTATTTATTATTTTTTATGTTTCAAAAAAACATTAAACTTATTCTTTAAAATACGAGGAGTCTATATTTTTGAAAAAACATAATCTATTTTTTTATATACTTTGTTAAATTTATTTTGTTATAAAGACACTGCAAATTTTTTAAGCAAAAGTCTAATTCTTTGATTCTCTATAAGTGAAGTTTTTTTTCTTAAGGGATATTTTTTATTTTTTTAGCTTTAATTAATTATTTATAAATCTTTCATATTTACTTATTTTCATGTTATTCTTTTTCTAATATTTTAATAGTTACAATAGAAGTTTCTAAAGCCACCTTTTCAGATTTATATAAATTAATTTTAATACATCTTAATTTTAATTAGTTCTTATTTTTTACTCTTTATGTTTTTTTTTTATAAATTCGAAATGTCAAAGCTTATTTATATTTTTAATTAATTTTCGTAACAATTGATTTTTAAAAGACTCTATTTATTCTTTTTTTAATAAATTAAATTTGCTAAAAGTTTCATTGATTAATATATAATTGTTATTTAATTATATTTAACAAAATTTTAATAATTTTTATGCAAAAGAACCTACATAACTTAAAATTTATGATTTTTAATTATTATTTCCACTTAATTAAATATTTTATTGTTTTATAAGGAAATGTTTATATAATAAGATTGTAATTTTTTTGTTTTATTAACTTTTTAAGGTATTTGTTTATATTTAATTATTTGTTTTTTTAATAAGTAATTATTAGAACGAATTTTTTTAATTTTTTATTTTAAGTTGTAATGCTTCCATAAAAAAAATTATTTTGTATTTATTTTAAATCAGTTTTTAAAGCATTTTATTATTTATTATTACTTTCTATTTTTTTATTATTTTTGTATTCTTGATAATTTTACTTAATTAATTTAAAAGTTCATTATATGTTATTCCTTGCATTTAAATTTACTTGTTCAACTTTATATTATTTATATATGATAAGTATAATTATTAATTTTAAGCATTTTTTTTTATTTTAATTATTGGTATATATTTTTTATTTTTTATATATAGAATAATATTATAACATTCATTCTCAAGATTAAAATATGTATTCTTTTGGGTAATCTTGAATTTTTTTCTAAAAAAATTATTTCCCTAAATAATTTTAAGAGTCAATTGAGTTTATTAAAAAAATAAAAATAAAAATAAAAAATATATATTAAAAATAATAATTTTAAGAAAAAAAAATCAAACAATCTGTAAAAAAATACTAATAAATTATTATTACAAAGAAAATAAAAAATTTAATAATGGGATCATAAAGTTCTAAATTAGTTTCAGATTCATAATAAAAAAAAGAGCATTTAGTTGTATAACATGAGTAAAAATAAAAAAATAACTTAAAAATAATCTATAAAAAAAATATAAATTATATAAAAACTTAGAAATACTAGTTAAAACATATCAAAGAAAGACTAACCAAATTGTATATTTAAAATAATTTTTTTTAAACAAAAAAATCGAAAACATTAAAACAAAACAAAAAAAATATAAAAATAAACTATAGTATACAATACAATATTTAAATGGAATTTCGGTGGTAGTACAGTTTATGTTACAGGAACATTTACAAATTGGATAAATCATGTCCAATTACAAAAACAAGGATAAGAATTCAGTGTTTGTGTGGTAAAAAACAAATAAATAATTAAATAAATAGGATTATGTTTACTAAAAAATAAATAAAAAAAAAAAAATACATAAAGAAATTGCCTCCTGATGTTTATTAATATAAATTTATAGTAGACGGAGAATGGAGATTTTCTCCAGATGATAATTAATCGACTGATGAAAATGGGAATATAAATAATATTATTGATACAACTAAAATTAAATAAGTAAATTATTTATAAGAAACTCATTAAAGACCTGTTCCACCAGTAGAACTCAAAAATAAAAAAGACGATATGCAAAAAGTTGAAAATCAATTCAAAAAAATCGGGTTAGATGATAAATCTGTAAAAATAAAAATAAAGCCCATGTTTATTATAGTATATTTATATTTTATAAAAAAGCCAAATATTTCAGAATTTTCTAGCGAAAAATTTGCTATTAATGAAAGAAAAAAAATTCTTCCAGAATATAATTTTACTGAAAGAGCTCCTCCTTGTCCTCCTCATTTACATGATATATATTTCTTAAGATAAAAAGAAAGAAAACATTTTAATATTTGGAAATAAAGATAAATACCAGAAAATTTATCTGAAGAATAACTAAAGAAAATGCTTAAATAAGAAGAAAATGAAGTATTGATTCATATTTTTGAAGGAGATCATTAGTTAGCTCCTCCATTACATGTCACTACGTAATAATATTTAAATTATATTATTTTATTTAATTATATTTTTAATTAATAATAAAAGAAAACATGTAGGAATTAAATAAAGAAAGAAACCATAATATCATACTTATTCATTAACATAAAGATTTAAATAAAAATATACAACCTATAAATTTTACACAAACTAATATTTTGAAAATTCAGATAGACTCTTTGTATCCTGATTTTAAATTAATTATACAATAAAAAACATATCATTTATTTTAAATTTTAAGAATCCGATAAGAAAAAAAAGAAATATTATTTTTTAAATACAAATATATATACTAATTTTAAAATAAAAACAGAAAATTTTTCACTCATTCATATTAATATTATTTTAAATTAGTTTTATATTATAGTTTATTTATTTTTTAAAAAATAAAAAAATAAAAAATATATAATAAATGCAAATTATTGAAAAGGTTAATTTTTAATATATGTAAAAGAATAAATAATTTAATACTTTTTATTATAATCATTGTATTTATATCATTATTATAATAATTTTTATTTTTTTAAATTATATATTATTTCTTATTATAAATTTTTTACTACTAATTGTTTTTTAAATTTTAATTTAAAAAAATAAAAAAATAAAATTAAAAACGAATGATGTAAAACAAATCTAATTTATTAAGTATTTTGAAACCATATTAGAGAATGTATTTTATATTTTTTGCTTCATTAAAATTTATAAAAGGATAATGAATTCAATCCCTTAATGTTAAAGATTTCCTTTAATTTAACAATAAAAAGTAGAAAAAGTAATTAAAAAAAAACATATATATTATTATTTTTTTTCTAAAAATATTAAATAATTTTTTATTTATATTAGAATTAAGTTATTAAAGATTATATTTTGTAAATTTAGAATGAAAATTTGCATTAAATATAAGGTTAAAAAAAAAATTCAAAGAGATATATTTTATTTTATTTTTTCTCATTTAAATATTCTATATATATGTTAATAAAAGAATTATAAAAAGTTTAAAAAAATGAAAAAGATTTAAAAATTACATAATAAACAAGTACTAATATAAATAATATTAACAATGATTAAACTTAAGGTAATTCAAAAAATAATATTTTAAATAATTCTTAATTAAATTAATAGTGGATTGATGAAAAAAAAAGTAAAAAAAAATTATTATAATTTTTTTTTATATAATTATTATAAATAGAATTAAAATTGCAAAAGAAAAAATAAGAAAAAATTATAAAACTAAAAGAAAAAAATTTAAAAAAATAAAAACTAAAATAACAATAAAAATCAATTAGAAAATAAAATAAACTAAAATTAGAAAAGAAAAAAAATAATATAATTATAAAAAAATAATAAAAATAAGCTTAAATAATTAAATAAATATAAATAGTTTAACTAATTTGTTTCGAAATATATTGATAATACTTAATAATAATTAGACTAAAATTAAATTTAAGATTTAAATAATTATGTTTAATAATAAAATCAGAAAGAATATCTTAAAGATTAGAAGATTTAACTGAATTTTTATATATTGAATTATAAAACAATCAAGATAAAATTTGACTAAAATGAAATAATTAAAATAATAAAATATTTTATTAAGTTTTAATAAAATATTGAAAAATAATTTTTTTATTTTTTTATTTTTGAATATAATTTTTTATTTTTGAATATAATTAAAAAGAAATATCTATAATAAAAAATAAAATTCCAGAGTTAAATATTAAAATATAAACATTAAATAAAATATCTCACTATTTATTTTTTAAATTAATACTATTTTTATTTAAAGAAGGTGTAAAATAACATTCTTAAAGTTATTTTTGAAGAATTTCCTATTATTTTTGCTTAATTTTTTAATCCTTAATCTAAAATAATATATAAATTAATGTTTTTTGATTTTATTTATTTAAAATACTTATTGTCTTATTAATTATTATTCATATATATCTTTTCCTCCTATATTTAATCCATTACCTTGATTTATAATTTATTATGATTTAGGATTTATTTTAGGCTATTTTTAATAATAATTAATATAAAAAAATATAACTTAAAATTTACCTTAAAAGTATGTTACTCTAGTTCATTTTTTTTTTCTAACCATTTTTATTTATAATTATTCAAAACCGAATTTTTTTAATCTAAAGTTAAATTCTATATAAAAGAAAAAAATAAAAATAAAAATACTTAAAAACAAAAAAATAATGAAATATTACATCAATAATTTTTTCACTTTCTTAAAGAAAATCTTTAAAGTTCATTTATTTATTTTATTGTTCCATTTATAGTAACATGGGAGCAAAAATTTCTAAAATTTCAGTTGAAAGACTTCTTATTTCTATATTTTCAGCAGAAATAACTCCGTCTTTATCATTATCCATTTATTAAAATATTTTATATAATCTTTTTATTTTATGTTCTTGAAAAATCTCAATAGACTTTTAGCTTGGCTTAAATACTTTTTATTATTATTCTTTCTTTTTATTATTATTTAATAAATCTTTCTTATCTTATTCTGAATCATTATTAAAGCTTTTAACTCTATTTCTTTAAGTTTAACTAGTGCATATATTAGATGAAGACTTAGATCTTTAAGAATATAAATATTCATAAACAGGTTTATTATCTGTATTTCTAAGTATTTTAGGAGGTCTACAAATTTAAGGTTTAAATAAAGGTTAACCATTTTTAGGATCATTTTCATTTTAAATTTCTTATCTTTTTTTATTGAAAATTTGTTTTTTTTTTTATTTGTTTTTTTTATTTTACTTTAATTTTTTTACTTTTATTTTAGTTATTTATTGCGTATATCGGTTTGCATTCTTTCAAGAAATTAAACCTCACTGTTATTTGTTTATTTTTTCTTTTTTTAATCAAATTGGCTTTTTTATAAACTTTCTTATTCAAGTCTATTTTTTTTTAGTTTTTTTTTTCTTTTGTAAATATGTTTATACTGTTTATTTTAATTTACACTGCTTAAGCTAGATCTTCTTTTTTTTGTTAATATTATTTTGCCACATTATAAAGCTCATCAAATTTATTTTATTTTTATTAATTTCTATATTTTTATTCAATTATTTATTGACTTCTATATTATTTACATATTTAATTTAAATAAAAATAGTTATGTATTTATTTACATTTCATTTATTTAAGGTACAAATGAGCATTCTTTCATTTCTTTCTCTTTTTTTTCTTATTTAATCTATTCAATTTTATAATTTTTTTTTTTATAATTTTCTACTCTTTGTTAATCTTTTAATTCTTAATAATTTTTGTTTTATTTACTACTTGTATCTTATTCTATATTCTACTTTTACTTCTTTTTTTTTAAAAAAAATAGAAAAATTAATGTTTTTTTAATTAAAAAAAAAAAACTTAAATTATTTATTATGAATTATTATTAATTTTTGGTTTAAAAGTTAATTCTTCAAGTTCGATTTTTTCTTTTTGTTATTTAATACTTTCAATTTTTTATTGTAATTTATTTTTCTCTTTTATACTCTTTTCGTATATTCTAATACCAATATTATTAGCTTAATATTTACAAGCTTATTTTTTTTATTATTAGACAACTAACTGTTTATTTTTACCATCATAATAAATACTGATATAAAAAAAATATAAATAAAAATTAAATTGTAAAAAAATACTCAGTATTAAATTATATTTGATTATCATATTTTTTTATATTTTAACATTCTTTCAATTACTAAAAAATATTTTCAAATCCTTGATCTTATTTGAAATTGCTTTGAAAAATATCATCATAATCATTATTATAATATATTTATTAGTTTTTATTATTTTATTAAATTTAATTCGTAAAAGGAAATTCTAAAATGATTTCTTCCTGATTATTATTTGTTATTTAAAAAGAATTTTACTTATTTTAAATATATGGCATAAAATTTTAAATTCCAAAATTTGAAATATATTAGTTCTATTATTTTTCAATTATTGGATTATTCAAATCTAAAAAAGCGTCAATTTCAATATCCTGAAATTTATTCTCTTTAAGATTAATGTTTTCACATTTAGTTAATTATGTTTCAAAAGCAGTATTTAAATTTTTTATATCATTTTAAGAACTTTAGTTTAATCCTATTTCTTCAAATAATTTATCAGCATCAAAAAACATTTTTTTTTTTATTTAAAAATAATTATTAATAATATTTATAATCGTTTATTTAATATTGTAAAAAATTTTAAACGTGAATAAACATAATTATAAATAATTAAGAAAAAAGGTAATTTTTAATTTATTATAGATTATAGAATGTAATATAGCTAATATATATATAATTATTTTTTTAATTTTAAGAATATAATAAAAAAAAATTAATAATAAGTAAAGTTTTTCATAATTTTATTATAAAAGTTTATTATAAACAAAATTAAATTTTTAATATATTTGAAATATATTTAAAAATAATTATTAGACATAATTTATTATTTATAAAAAATTATAAATAGAAAAATTAAAATAATAATATTTTACATAATAATAATAATGCATTTAAATTTTAACTTTATATATATTAATTTATGTATTTTAAAATTAAAAAAAAAAAAAAATTATAAAATCTTTAAATTTATAAAAAAAAAAAAATCATAAATAATAAAATATGTTTAGGAAATAAATACTGAACATAAATTCGGAATACATAAAATTTAACTAAAATTTATCTTAAAGGGACCTCTAAAAACAATAAAAAAAACAATAAAAATATAAAGATAAGTAATTACTAAAAAACATAAGCTTATAATAAAACTAAAAAAATGAAGAAACAAAAATTTAATAATAAGATATTCACGGAAAATAAAAAAATATTGAAAACAAAGAAGAAAATATTTTAATTTAAAAGCAAATAAATGAAAAAATATAAATGGACACAATACAGCTTTTAAAAAAAAGCAAAGAAAACCAATTCGGGAATTTTTTAAATTACTACAACCATAGATATGAGAAAAAATGGGCTGATCCAAGAATAAAAGTGTTAAAATAAGAATGGTTTTTAAATAAAGAAGTATTAGATATTGGATGCAATGATGGTTCTTTAACTCTTCAATTAGCAATAAAATATTTCCCATTAAAAATTTAAGGAGTGGACATTGACTATAATATTATAAATAAAGCAATTGATAATTGCTTATTATTAGAAAAATAATAAAATAAATCTAAAAATTAATAAGAAAATGAATAAGAAATGGAATAGTAAAAATACTATAAATTAAAATAAAAACTAGATAAATTACCAAAAAGTTTTTTAATATAAAATAAATAAATAAATCTTTTAGAGTAATTATATATGGAAGAAAATGCTAAAAGTTTATTAGTTGAAGAAAATAATAATTAACAAATAGAAATAAAGAAAAAATTCCCTGAAAACGTAAAATTTAGAATGGAAAATTATATACAAAATACAGATTTAACAGAAAAATATGACACTATTTGTTGCTTTTCAACTACAAAATGGATACATATTAATTTTGGAGATGAAGGGATAATAAGGCTCTTTGAGAAAATTTATAAAAGCCTAAGATAAAACGGATTATTAATTTTAGAATTTTAGGAATGGAAATCTTATAAAAAAATTAAAAATTAAAATAATGAATTTAAAAATATCATAAAAACAATTTAATTACATCCAGGAGAATTCAAAGAATTCCTAATAAAAAAATAAAGATATATATTAGAATAAGAACTTATTCCTGATATTAATATGTATAATAATGTTCCTTAATTTTTCAAAAGACCAATATATATTTTTAGAAAATAATGATAAATATATATATTAATTAAGAAAAAATACATATAATATATATATATATATATATTTATTATTATTAATAATTATTTATATTTAAATTTTCTTATAAATTTACATATATATATTTTATATATTTTTTTATCATTTTTGTTCATTTTCCTTTGAATATTTTATTGCCCATTCTATTATTTCTATTGTTTCTTTCCATCTATCTTTTATACTTTTACAATTTAAAAGAACTACAATTAAACTATATTAATTATTCTTAAACCAACTAGCTAAACATGGTCCTGCATTACATGTAATTCCAGTTTTTAATCCACTGAAACCTTTTTTTAATAATTAATTCGTATTTTTCCATATTATTTTTCTTTTTAATTCTTATTAAGAATCATAAATTTCAGCTTAATATTATTATTTTTATACTACTTCTTTAATCAGAGGATCATAAATCATTTATAAAGATAATTATCCAGCATCATAGGCTGATGATCTATTTTTTTTATGTACTAAACCATGTGGATTTGTGAAATAGGTATCAAACATGCTGAATTTTTATGCTTATCTATTCATTTCTCTTATAAAATACATTATAGGATTTCTAACCTTTTTATAAAAATATTTATTATAAATAAATAATATTATTTTTTCATTAAAAAAAAAATTGCTTTAATTTTTTTTATTGATAGATTTAATTCCATATTTCTCTTTAAATTCTTCACTTTATATAAATATGTAAACACCAAAATTTTCAGCTAAAACAATAGCTGCATCATTTCCACTTGGAAGCATTAAACCATGTAATAAATCGTAAATACTTACAAGATCTCCTTTTTTTAATTCTGCTGAAGTTCCTATTTATTTTATAATTTGCAATATAGACAAAAAAGTTTAAAAAACCTTTAATATTAGCTGCATGTTAAGATACTTTAAAATATGTTTTTTCTGGAATTATATTCATTTATCGCATGTAATATATAGATAAAAATAAAGTCATCATTTTAGTTAATGAAGCTATTTCTCTAATTGTAGATTCTTAATAACCACCTATTACTTGTTTATTCTTAGCATTTATAATAATCCAGCTTTTTGCACTTATTTAAGGAGGTTTTTATTTAAGTTTATTAATTTATTCTATATAAAATATTAAAAATTTTGATTTAAATTAAAGTCTTTTAAAATATAAAAAACTTATAAAAATTCTATTTTCTCTTTGAACTTATTAAGCTTAATAACTGTTTCTTTTCATAGACTTAAAAGTTTCTGTTTTACTAAAAATTATTTTAAATATCAAAAATAAAAAAAAAAAAAAATGTTTTTTTTTTACTTCTTTATTTGCTAATTTTATTATTTTCCTATTTAAAACGTAAAAATACTATTATTATTTTTGAAAGTTCTAATTTTAAAACTACTGTTTTTCCTTACTTATTGTTATTATGTTTATTTCTAACAATTTTCTGTAATATTGATTTTTCCATCATTTTTAATAGGTAAAATATCATTTTATATAAGTTTATCATTTTTATTATTTGACTAATTAAAATTAATATTTGCTATCTATTATTTTTATTCATTATTTATACTATTTTATGATTTTTTAACTATTTATTGCTATTATTCGGTTTCGTTCTCTTCATTTCCTAAATCACTTTCATCATCTTCATCGTTTTCTTCGTCTTCTACATCATCTTCATACTTCAAATTATAATCATATTCACCTTCTTGACAATTTTCTAATTCATAATTATCAATACTACAGCTACTTGAAGGAGGAGAAACTAATACTTTGTTTTCCATTTAATATTGAATGCCTTTATTGACAACAAAATAAAGGAGTATATTAATATTTAAAAATTATAATTAAATAAAAATAAAATAAAAAAATAATAAATTAATAAAAATAAAATATAATTAAAATTAAAAATATTTAATGCGTTAATACTATTTTTTTATTTATTTATAGATTAAATAATTTTTTATTTCTTATCTAAAAATAATATAATTAATTAAATAATTTTCTCGTAATTATAATTTTTTATTTATATATTATTTTTTTAAAAAGGTAACTTCCTTTTTATTTTAAGTGTAATTTTTTTTTTGAAAATAATAAATTATAACTTAAAAATAATATATATATATATATTAAAAAAATAAAATAAGAAAATGGTAAAACAAATTTTTTTATTATAAATCATAATTAAAATTATTTTTTGATTATATAAAAAAGTCTAAAATTATTGGTTCAAAGCTTATAAAAGAAACATAAAGAAACGTTGATGAAACTCTTTTTGCTTCCAAAAAGATAAAAAGCCCAGAATAATAATAAGAAACTTTAAAAAAAGCGCGTCAAGGTGATTTTACAGATCCAGATGTTATTTTGATTCCTGAATCTGAATTATAAAGAATAAAAGTAAATTAAATATAAAAAAAAGTAAAATTAAAAGTAATTTTTAAAAAAAAAAGAATAATGCAATAATAACTACAAAAGAAGAATAATTACATCAAAAGAAAATATTGGAAGAATAAAAAGAAAAATAAATGGCAGCAGCTAAAGCAAAAAAATAAAAAATGCTTTAAATAGAAGAAGAAAAAAAAAAACTTGTTCCACTTTCAGAAGTAGAATAAGAAGAAAAAATAGTTAAAGTAAAAAAATAATAAAAATTATATATATATATATATATATATAAATATAATATATTTTAATATATATTATATTTATTTCATATATATTTATTATTAATTTATTTTTTTAATATTTAATTTATTTTTTAATTACAATTTTTATAGGATTCTCTTATTAACAGAGCTTAGGAAATATTAGCTGAATAATTAGATGATGTAAAAGAAATGAACAAAATGGTTATGTATGCTAAATGTGTTACTATTCGTGATAAATAACTTGTAGAGAAAAAAAATATTCATGATGATATAAAAAACTAAGAAAAAAGAAAAGACTTAATGATGGAAATTGAAAGGCTTAAAAAAATTAAATATTATGAAGAATTAGAAAAAAGAAAGAAAGAAGAATTAAGAGAAGGGCATCACAAAATTATTGAATAAATTAAAGAAAGAGAACTTGTCCGTTTAAGAGACAAAGAAGAATTAGAAAAAGAAGGTTAATTAATGATTAAAGCAATTAATTAACTTGAAATTGAAGAATAAAATAAAGCCTTAAAAAAAAAGTCTGATGCTAAATTACTTTTAGATTAAATTTTTGAAGCAAACTCAAACGCTATTCTCGTAAAATAAAAACGTATATAAGAAGAAATAACTGAAGATGAAAAAATATTAAAATATAATTTAGAAAAGGCTTAAAAAGAAGCTGAAACGTTAGCAGAACAAAAGTAAAAAAAAATTTAAAAATAAAAAATAAAACAAAAAATTAGACGAATTAAGGATGAAATAGAAAAAGAATTATAAAGATTAAGAGAAATGCAAGAGAAGGCAACTGATAGATAAGCAGAATTAGATGCTTTGAGGGCTAAAAGAGCAATGGAATAAAACGAAAGAAATGCTCGTGAAAAAGAAAGAAAAGAAGCCGAATAAAGAGAAAGAATAAATGCTGAATTAATGGAAGCTAGAAGATAATAGTAATACGAAAAAGAATAAAGATTATAAGAATAAGCAAAATAAGATAGAGATGAATTCTAGAGAATTATTTAAGCTTAAAAATTGGAAAGAGATATTGAATTAAAAATAGAATAGGAAAGAGAAAATTAAATTAAAAAACATGCAGAATAGTTAAGAAAGTAGATAGCTTTGAATGAAGAAAAGCTTAAATAAGATTAAAGAAGTAGATTGGAGGAAGGAAAGAAAATTAGAGATTAATTATCATAATAAAAAAGAATGTTGGAATAAATAAAAGAACAAAAACTAGAATAATTACATAAATTAGATATTCCAGAAAAATATACAGCAGAACTTGAACGCAAAAAAATTGTTATTTGAAATTCAATTATATTTTTTACTTTTTTTTTATAGAAATATAATTTCATTAGAAGAAACAATTGCAATAAATATAAAAATTATTTTATTTTTTTATTTTTAAATGTTAGATCTCTTTTTTTTTTTTTAATATTTAATTTAAATAAATAAATATTATTATTTTTTTATTTACATTTTTCTTAAAATAAAATTACTATTTTTAAATTAACAAAAATAATATATTTATTTTATTTAAAATAATATAATAGAAAAATTTTATTTAAATAATTGAGTTTTTATATAAAAATAAAATATTGTATATTAATAATATTAACCTAAATTATTTTTAATATATTATTATTTTAATTTTAATGATAAATATTTATTATTTTTATAAATAATCATTTATATAAATTTTGTATTAATAAAATATATAGGTATAAATTTAATTTTTTTTTTTTCTTTAAATATATATAAGAATAAATAAATATATAAATAATTATTAAAAAAATAAAATAATTAAAAATTAAAAAAGTGATGTAAATATAAAATATATAAAAATAATAATTATATATAAATTAAATATTGATGATATTTGCGATGGGCGGACATAGTATTATATGCTGACATCATCAAGTTTATCCTGAATTAAAATTCGCTTATATAAAAAAGCAATATATATAATAAAATTTCATGTTTTTATAAAATAATATTTTTAAATTATAAAATTAAAATAAATGTATATTATCTAATTTTTAAAATTTTTAAAAAATTGAAAATTATTTAATAAATGAAGAAAAATATACAATAATTCATTTTTGTTTAGTTTATAATTTTTTAATTTATGTATATAAATTTGATAAGATTATTAAAAATTCTTATCAAATTTGATAAATATAATTATTAAATTTTCAAATAAAAATCATTTTAAATGGTAAAGAAACAAATCAATATATTATAAAGCATCATTTATATTTTATACAAAAAAAAAAATGTGTGCAAAAAATTTATCTTAATTTATTGTTCATATTTTTTTCATTAATAAAATAATTGTGTTTAATATTATTAAATTAAAATTAAAAAAAAATTAAAATAAAATAAACTCTAAAGAAATTAAGTTTTTATTAATATAAAATAATGTAAATTCAGATATATATACTAAAAATTATAAAAATAGTGACATTTTGATATAAATAAAAAGAATAAATACATTCATAATATTTATAATATTATAAACCAATAATTTTAATATTATATAAAAAATAATTATTAAAATTCAATAATAATAAAAAAATATTATTTTTATATTATCAAAAATAATTATATAATTGAATATATTATAATATTAAAACATAAATATTATTACTTATCATTTATAGTATATTATTAATTATATAAAAAATTCTATCTTAATAAATTTACTATATAATAAGTAATGAATAAATTAAAAAATAATTAATAGAAATTATATATATATATATTATATATATATATATATATTTTTATATAATAAATAAATATCTTTTTTTTTCTAAAATATTTTATTTTTTATGTTTTTGATTAATATATATTCGAATACAAACTATTTATAAATTAAAAAGACTATATTGTAAAAATGTATAAATTAAATTAAATTAAAATAATATAATTTTATTTATATCAAATAACTGTTATTTATTTATCTATCACATATCAATAAAAATTTACTGTATAATAGTTTAAATAAACTTTTTTATTACTATTAATAACTTAAAAAGATTAAGATAATTAAAAAATGATATAATGAAATAAGTTTATTATCTTTTTAAAAATATTTTATTAATTTAAAATTGATTATATATAATAATTTTGAATTAATTTAAAAATTTTATTATACTATATAATCTTTATAAAAATAAAAGAAAACTTTAGATTTATAATTAATTTATTTATAAATATTAAAAATTATAATAATTATTTATAACTTATATCTATTTTTTAAAAAAATATATTAATAAATTAATATGAGAATATTTCTTGAATATAAATATTAAATAGTAATATAATAAAATTTATAATAAATATGCTATATATTAAATTAGTTTAAAAATTATTTATTGAATATATATAGTTATATAGTAAAAATTATTTTAACTTTTTTGTAATAATTATAATTAAAAAATTTAAATTTAATATAATTAATTAAATTTATAAATAATATATATATAAATAATAAATAAAATAAAAATTAAGTTTAACTATAAACTATAAAAAAAAAAAAAAATATTAAAGTAAAAATTAAATAGATTAAAAAAAACGATATATTAATAAAAATAAATTTAAAAAAATCTAATTAATAAATGAAAATATTTTTATTTAATATTTGATAATAAATTAAACATTAAATTATTTAGAAATTAAAAATAATATTAACATAAAAATATTTTTAAATTTCAAAAAAGTAAATATATATATATATAAATATATATATATATATATATATATATATATTTATATTTATTATGTATTGTTTTTTTTGAAATTAATAATAATATTTTTTTTCAACAGCATATTCCGCAATTTTATTTTTCTTTTATGTTTTCAGATTAATATTAATTATTATTTTTTGTCATATTATTTTAATATATATCCAATATAGAATCTTTTTATTATATTTAAACTTATTCGCTATTTTCCTAAATTTCCATTATATTGTAAATATCTTTATCTAATATTTTATTACTAAAATTGCTACTTAAAGAAAATAAATCATATTCTCCTAATTCTGATAAAACTTATTCATTATCAAGAGCAGGAAAATCCTATTTTGGTTTCCCATTTTTCTTTTTAGCCAAAAAAAGATTCCACAATAAAGGATTGGGATTTAAACGTTCATTTTTATCTTTATCTATCAAAATTTCATTAAAGGCTTTAATTGAATATTAAATTACATCAATAACTTAAGTATTTTAACTTGTAAATTATTCGCTAAATTAAAAAAGCTTAGGTTCATTTTAAAACTCTATATCTAAAAAAATTACTACTTATTTCAAATAAAATTCTATTAGATTATTATTATTATTGTTATTATTATTATTATTATTATTATTATTATTATTATTTATTTTATTATTATTAATGGAATTTGATTTTAAAAAAATTTAATCACTTTTATCTATCATTTATTTTTATATTATTAATTTTTTTTATTTTTTATTTTTTTATTTTTTTTATTTTTTTTTATATGATATTATAAATATTAAAAAAAAAAATCAATAATTTAATTTTAAAATAATATGAATTTTATATATCGAATGTTTTTATTTTTATCTTCTTATTTTATTTAATATTTTTCTTAATTTCACTTCTAAATAATTTATGTAATAAATTTTATTTATTTTTCTAAATTTATTTATTGTTAAAATTATACATATATTTAAAGCATTTTTTTAAATACTATTATCTAACCTATATGATTATACAATTGAAGAAGTTTTATTTTCATTTCTATATTCATTTTCAATATATTATACATAGAATTATATATATTTCTTATTATTTATTATGCTATATATTATGTTTTATTATTCTTCTTCTAATCATTTAAATAGTTTTTTAACTTTTATTTATTATATTAATAATTTTTAATCTTCTAAATTTATATCTTTTTAAAGTTCTAATTTTAATTAATTTATATAATTTTTAATTTTTTCAATTTTTCAGATTATTAAAGCATTTATTTTTCAAATTCTTTTTTGTTTTTCTTAAAATTAAAATTAAAATTATTCTGTATTAGATTATCATTTATATATGTTTTCAAATAATTTTTGCTTTTATTTTATATTTAGTTTTTTTTTTTCTGAAATTTCACATATATTTTGGTAACTTAATATAAATATCTAGGGAATATTTTTGCAAAAATTAATATTTTTCATTTATATGTATTTTATTTTTATCGCTTAATTTATACTTCTTCATAAAATTAAATAATTTTTTTAATATATTAATTTAAAATATGATTTAAAGTACTATTTTATTGATTAAATTGGATTTTATAATTATTTTTTTTCAATATTTACTCTTATCTTATAATTCTTGAATAAAATGGACACTATTTTTTATTTTTTTAATTAAAAATTCTAAATAGAGATTAGTCTCAATTTAAATTATTTTTTTTGTAAAATTTTTATTTTTATTATTTAATACAAATATCACTAAAAATATAATTCTTATTGTGAGATTTATCAGCAATATTTGGTAAAGAATAATATATTCTTTTATTTTTTCTTATTTTCGGCTTGATAAACATTTGGAATACTTATTTTTAAATTCACTTTTTTTAATTTATTTATATATAATAATAAAAAAATTAAATCTATTATTTAATTTTTGTAATATTAATGTCAAATGAAATAATTTTTATATTTTTTTTAATATAATTAATATATACATACACATATATTTTAATATTTATATATACTATTTCTTAATTAATTAAAAATCAAAAATAGTCAAGTATATAAATAGAAATTTTCTCAAAATTTATATATATATATATTAAATTTTATTTCAATTTTTATGTTATTAAGCTATCTTTTCTTCTTTTAAAAAAACGTTGCCTGTAAATATAAAATTATATATTTGACTATAATATTTTTTATTTTTAAACTTCTTTTTCTATGGTCTTATTAAAAATTTAATTCACCAAACTTAACTTATCTATCTTTTTAATTCACTTAAGTACATTTCAAAGTATAGTCATTTTTATTAGAAAAAGCATATTCATTGTTTATAAGAATGTCTTTAAAATTTGCTCCAGTATGTACAAAAGGAACTTTTGATATATTCCTTTAGTATAAAAATATAAATAAAATAATTAAAAATACAATATACCCTGTATTACAAAATTTATTTTTTGAATTTTATTAATAATTTCTATCTGCTGGAAGTAAGTATTTAGTTTCTTGCATTTTTAAATATGTATTTGATACTTTTTAATCCTTTTAAAATAAATATATATTTAAAAAATAATATTAAAAATATATTATACTCCACCAGATGAAGGGCATATTCTTTAATTTTATTTAGCTTAAAAGTTATTGTTTAATATAGGATTTCTTTCTACAATATTTTAAGCATAAGAAGAAGAAGCTTTAAGTTGTCTTTTTTAAAATAAATCATTTGATTGTGATGGTGGAATAACAATTTATCTATATATATTATAATTATTAAAAAAAATAAAATTAAATTTATGATATATATTATATAAAAATATATATATATATATTATATATATATATATATATATATATTTATAATAATATTTTTATACTTTGTAGAAGATTTAAATTTTTATTCTGGAGATTAAAATATGTTTGCATAATCATAATTTTTATTTCTTTTAATTTAAGGCCTATTTAATACTACCGGTTCTCTTTCGTGTGTAATAGGATTGGCATTTACATAATTTGGATTATTTTTATGTATATTTCTATATTACTATATATTTTATTAAAGAGTTGAAATGTGATCTTTATTTTAGTATTTTTAATTTTAAGGTGGACTCAAATATTATTAATAATATTAATTTTCTTTTCCTTTACCATATACTTTTAATTATAACTTTTGGCAAATAATAACTCTTCGTTATCATTTCTAAATTATTTTTAATCATTATAAATTGAAACCTGTCTATAAAATTATATAGTAATAAATATTTTTTTATTTTACCTATAACAAGACATTTTTAGTTATTTAAAATATAGTTTATTTTTTTTTTAAATAATTTTAAATAAACAAATTATATTTAAAAAAATTAATTTTTTTTAAAAAAAATTAATATAAAAAAGAATTTTAATATATAAAAAATATTATTTTAGTTAAAATAAAAATCTTCTTAAAAATTTAAAAATCAAAAAAAAAAATTATAAAATGATGTTTATAAAAAAATAATAAATTATAATAACAAAATTTTTAAACTAGAATTATAAAAAAATTAAAATAACTAAATAAATTTTTAAAAGTTAATAAAAAAATATATTAAAATTTAATATTAAAAAACTTGAAAATATACAAAATATATCATATTATTAATTAGATATTAAAAATATTAAAATTTTTTATAAAATAGCAATAAGTATTTTTTTAAAAAAAATACGCATTAGTATTTCAAAAAAAAAAAAAAAATGAATATAATAGATAATATTTTATTGAAATAAAACTAATCGATCACTGAATAATTTATCCAATTATTAAATAACTAAGAAGAATTATTAAACTCTTTAAAACTATAATAAAGTTCTATATGCAATTTTTTCAAGAAAAACTCATCATTTATACTTTCTAAGTTAATAGAATATATTACAATAGTATCTTCAAACCCTGATGATATAGACAGAGGTTACGAATACCCATTAATAGCTCATGATTTATTTAATTGTAAAATACAAGTACTTAATGATCTTTTTTTTGAAAATAATAGCATTTATTTATAATAATTATTTAAATTTGTAGAAAATATAGAATCTGATATTTAAATAAATGAAGTATTATCAGGTTATTGGGCGAATTTATTATTTATTTTATTAGAATTGTAACCAAAAAGTATATTTTAATATGTATTTTCACACCAAAACGTAATAAATGGATTGATTTATCATTCTTATAATTAATCAATATATTTAGTTGCGGAATAAATTTTAGTTTTTGAAGTAAATAAATTTAACTTAAAAATACAAGAAGAATTAAAATAATTTTCCCCTTTAAAATTGTCTATTTTAAAATCTTTGATTGAAAATTTTCTTAATATATCACTTGAAAAATCCTTTAATTTATCTAAAATTATATGTAAAATTATTATTAAATATTTCTGCTTGATTGAAGGTAAGGAAATGCTTGAAATAATCTAACAAGAAGATTTTATTAAAAAATATTTTTCTGAATTCTAATCTACAGAAGATACTTAAAAAATACACATATATGGAAATATTATAGAATCTTTATGTCTGCACTATTCATAAAGTAGTGATAATTTTAATAAAGCATATTCAAAAAATAGTGAATATTATTAAATAATGCTGTCTTAATATCAAGAAATGCCTTTTATTTAGCATTTGACTTAGAATATGATAAATTTCGTTTAGAATTTAAAAAAAGATGGCTCTATTTTAGGGTAAAAACGTTTCAAAATAATCGAAATAATTAATTTTGCAATAAAAATAAATTTCCCAATAGTATTAAATTCAATATAAGAAAGCTAAATAATCGAAGAAAATATTAGAATTTTTTTCAAATATGAATAACACAATATTATGCATTAATTAGTTTTGAAAACTATTATTTATATTTTATAAAAATATAAAAACTAAGAGATTATGAAATATATTTTTGAAAAATTGGAATTACAAAATAAGTTAATTGAAAACATCTAATAAAATGTTTATAGTTATAATTAAATTAATAATAAAAAAGATAAATTTATTAATAAAGGATATTTACCGCATGCAGTAATGATATGTGAAAATTTAGAAATAACTAGAAAAATAAATGGATGGAAATGTGAAGATAATTGGAATAATTTTATTAATGGTTTTATAGAAGATTTTTAAGAAAAGTAGTGTAGAGATTTAGGAAATTTTAATTATTATATTGATAATAATGATAATAATAATAATAATAATAATAATAATAATAATAATAATAATAATAATAATGAAGCTATATTAAATGATTTTAATAATGAAGATAATATGTCTCTTTATAACTTATACATAAGATAATAAGCTGCTGAAAAAATGAAATAAAAATCCTCTTACAAAGAAATGTTAAGAAAATAAAATTATTTTAAATAAAAAAAGTAAAATAGTGATATTTAAAATTTGTAATACAATTAGTAGTAACTATAATATTAAAATAAATAAACAAAAATCAACACTAATACTAGCAATAACACTAACACTAATTCTAATACTAACGCTAAAATTAACTCTAATACTAACACTAACTATAACACTAGCCCTAACTCTAACACTAACACTAACACTAACTCTAACACTAACACTAATTCTAACATTAACACTAACACTAACACTAACACTAACATTAACACTAACTCTAATTCTAACACTAACATTAACGCTAACACTTAAATTAATGATTAAAATAATATTTCGTTAAATATTGACTTAGATTTAATTGATGAAGGTGAAAAAGCTTTAGACGATGAAATTTCATAAACAAAAGAAAAAATTTTACAAATCGAAGCTAAACTTTTTGAATCAATAAAATAATTAAATGAAAAAGAAACCCAAAAAAAAATTAAAACCCTAATGATTAGTAATATTCCAACCAGGATTTACAAGAACTAATAAAAGTCAATATCTAAAATAAACAAAAGGATTTATAAAACAGGCAAAAACTTGAATAAATCCGCTAAGGAACAGAATAAAGAAAAAGCTTACAAAACCTTGAAAATCTATAAAAAGTTTATGCCGCAATTTATTAACAAAACACTGACCTAATTTAAGAAAATTCCGACTTATTTTAAATTTAGCAAAATAATTTTTTACTTTTTGAAGAGATTTCCCAAAAATTATAAACTGACCGTTAATAAGAATTAAATTAAACAGAATAATAAGGATATTAGCATGAAAAATCTTTAAAATGGTAATATGAGTAAGAATAAAGAATGATTTTAAATTAAAATTTGCCTAAATTGAAAGAATAGTAATAGGTTTTGCTTGAAATGTATTAAAATGAGTAAGAAAGTTAAAAAAATTAAATTTTAATGAAATACAATTTACAATATTAACAACTTTTAGAAAAATCTATTATTGATTAAAAAAACTTCACAAAGATAATTAAAGAAAAAATAACTTAAAATTAATAGTAAAATACATAATAATAAAATAAATAAAAAGACTAAGATTATATACAAAATGCTTAACAACTTAAGAATACAATGTAAACTTTATTCTAAAATACATTAAATTATTAACAAAATAATAATTAAATATCAACTTTAAATAATAATATAGAAAAAACTAAAACAGAAAAAGAAAAAAACTAATCAGAAGAAAGTTAAATAGATATAAATAGTGTAGAATTCCTTCCTAAAATATTAGAATCGTAAAAAAGACTATTATTAAATAACGAAGTTATTACGAAGTCCTTTAATTCCCCTTCTAGTGTTATTAGACCAAGAAAATAATCTTCTAATGTAGATTATAATAATTATGATAATTATAAAAAAATGCCTTTAGAACATCAACTATTACAATAATAATAAAAAACTTCTTAGTTTGCTAAAAGACCATAAATAGCTTAAAATAAAGAAGACGATCCTTATGATTATCAAGCTTCTTTTTCTGGTAGAGATAAATCACCAACTCCAAGGCATATTCCATTTTAGAAATTGGAATCACCATATAATAATAACAATGTGAATAATTCTTTGTAAATTTTTAATGATTATGTGAATTTTTAGTCTAATTAAATTTAAAAAGCCAAATTAGGTGCATTAGATTAGAATTTTGTGAAAAAAAGAGAATTAGATTAAAAACTTATTTAATAAATAGAAGAAATAAAATAGAAATAACTTAATAGATAAAAAAATTAATTATCTAAAAGTGAAGTTTTTTAGAATAATCAAACTATTAATTTAAATGAAGATTAAGAATAAAGTAATAATTATAATAGCTTATATTCTTAACAAAATCGGGTCTTTATTTAGAATTAAAAAAATAATACAGAAAATTTACTTAACAAAGATAATAATAATTAATAATAAAGTAATACTACTGAAAATTTAGTTAATTTAAATTCAAAATAATAATAATAATATAGTTATAGTAATTTAAATAATAATACAGGCAAATTTAATAATTTAAATAATTAAAATTAATAATAATAAAATAGTACAGGGAATTTACATAATATAAATAATTAAAATAGTAATTAAAGTAATTTTAGTAAACCAATAGATTATGCTTCTAAATATCTCTCTTAAGATGCAAATAATATTTTATTGAAAAATTCAATGGATGCTAGTAATAATTTATTAAAAAAATCAATGGATACAAGTAATAATTTATTGAAAAGTTAATAGTAACAAGAATAATTAAAATTAAATAATAATAATTCGAATAACACTTTAGTTTATTAAATTGAATAAAAATATGGAAACAAACCTGTTTCATAGTCATATTATATTGAAAAATAAAATGAAATATAATAATAATAGCAATAATAATAATAATAATAATAATAATAATAATAATAATAATAATAATAATAATTACAATAATAGGAATTATAAGGAAAAATAAAATAAAAATATTTAAGTTAATCTATTTGCTATGATAATAGCTATAAAAATGGAAGAAGTACTTTAAATAAATCGGATATATTTAATTAAGATAAATTAGAATAAATTAAATAATAATATTAAACAAGAGCTTAAAATTATTTAGATCCTTAAATTTAGTCTTTACTTAATAATTATATTAAGAAATGAAATATAAATATGTATTTTTTCTCTTTAATATAAATAATATATATATATTTTAATCAAGTTTAATAAATTAATAATTATTTATTAATTTTTTTTTTAATATTTAAAAGCAGAATTTTTTTGTTTAAATAAAAAATAATTTATTATAACTGTTTTTTATATTTTTTTTATAATTTTACATTTAAAAAAAAAAAAAAATCATTCAATATATTTTTAACTCTAAAAAATTAACTAAAGTCCAGGATTTTTATTTAAAAATTGAATCAAATCATCTTTATAAATTTTGAATATTTTTCCATTTTTATTTGATTAAATTGAAGTGGTTAAACTTAATCCATTCGTAATAGCTTTTGTTTCACCTACAAAAGTTCCTTTTTCAAGATAATCTAATTATTCTTCCGGACAATCAATAAATTAGAAATTTCCTTCTTTAATGACGAATGCAAAATTTGCTTGTTCTCCTACTTTCCACATTATTTATCCTTTTTTAACATTTTCCTCATTCATAATCATTTCAAGTTAAGTTTTTTGAGATTAAGCCATTTCATTAAAAACCGAATTTCTTTTTTTAAATTAAATTATTTTTTTAATAAAATAAATTAAAAAATTGTATTTCTACCTATACATTGTATATAATGCATTTGATTATCTCGCATGTGTTAAGTTCATAAATTTTTTAATTACAGGACCATCTCCTCCACGACAATCACCAAAAATAAATTTAAAGTCATGTTTTTCAAGAGTAAGTAATGTTAATTATGTCACAGCTTAAACACTAAATAAAATTGCTTTAATTTTATTAATTTATAAATTAATTATTTTTACTTTGCAATTCGTTTCCCACCATCACAAATTAAAGCAGTTTCGCCAAAATATTCTCCTGTTTAATAAAATCTTTCAAATCTTTATAATTTATTAAGTTTATATATTATTTAAATTAATATGTATTTTTTTTAACAAAATACTAATTATTTTTATTATTAGAGTAAACTCTAGCAACTCCATTTTCAATAATATAAAATTTATTTCCAATAGTATTTTCCTTAAAAACAATTTATTAAGGTTTATATTTCTCTTCTAATAACGAATCTAGTAACCATTTAATATTTCTACTAGTTAAATTTTCTAAAATATCAATAGAAGATATTAACTCTAATCTTCTAAGCATATTAATATTATTATTAGATTCTGAAGGATATAAAATAATAGTGTTTTCAATCCCCGTTTTAGCAATTTTTAATCCATTATTTTTTAATAAATCCTTCTCCGCAATATGAATTAGCATCATTTTATTTTTAATATGACTAGGAAGTGCAGCTAAAATAGTCTAAGGAGTATGAATTGGGGGTACTCCGGCTTCATGCAGAATTATATCACTCGTAAATTTTAAATTCGCTAATTATTCATACCGTGTTTTACCAAATATACCTTAATCGTAATATTCTTTGAGTTTTTCAGGATTATAAAATGTATCAGCGGAATAATATATTGATCTTCCCATCAAATAACAATCAAATCTAATACAAGGAATAGTATGGAAAGCATAAAAGAACTTAAATTAACAACCATGTATATTTAGAAATGTCCCTAAAGTCACAGGTCTGAAGAAGAATAAATCTTTAAGTTCTTCCATTCCCATTCCACTTAAAGCCGTATATTTTCTCATAAAGCTATTCATTATAGATCTAGTAGTGATTAATTCTATTCTACTTTAATCTAAAATTTTATATTTAATATTATATTATAATAAAAATAAAAACTTACCTAAAATTTTGTTAAAAGTTCCAGCATCATGATCAGCATGACAGTGGGTAAGTATAATAGTACAAATCGAAACACTTGGGATTCCCATTTTCTTTAAATATTAAGATGAAAAAGGTGGAGGGTCTATCATAATACCTTTCCTATAAACCCAGATTATAAATCCAGTAGTGTTCCCTTTAGCATCGAAACCATGGGAAGATCCCAATACTGTTATTCCAAAATCTGGTGGGACAATACTTATATTTTAATCCATCCCTACAGTTTGTATATCAGAAATGCCTTATAATTAACAATGTGTATCATTCCATACTGTAATATTATTTATATTTGAAGGACTACCCAATGAAATCCTATCGTGATTAAATGAGCTTGTATGCTAGCTGTAAGGCATATTAGTATGATCAGAAGATTAGTCTTATATATCAGGAATTAATGATTATGTTCCTTTAATTTATTTAATTCTAGAGTTTTCTGGGAGAATAACTTAGTCAAGGATTTATTCTAATTATACTCCATTTTGGTAAATCATAAAATAGCCATTTTATTTGTGAATTTCAATTTTGTCTTCTCCTTATTAAATTTTTGCTATTCCTTTTTCATCAAAAATTATAAAGTCTATTAATGTATCAATAGTAAGTGCTTCTTAAGGATTCATAGGATTCTTATTTTTAATTTTTTGTTTATTTGTTATAATTATATATTATTTAAGTGTATTTACCTTAGCGAAAACTTTTAACTCTTTATAAAAATCAGGTATTCCATCTTATGGATATGTATAATAATATTCTTCAGCTATATTCTATAAAAATTTAATAATGAATTAAAATATTTTATTTTGAATTATTTTTATATCTAATAATCTATTTATTTTCAGATATAATAATTTTATAATTTTGATAAATAAACTAATATTAAAATAATCTTATATGTAAATGAAAATATATTAAAAAAATCTTATATGTTAAATATTTTAATTTCTATTAATATAAGCTATTTATGTATTTATAAATTACTTCAAATGACAATGGTCCTAATAATGTTTCTTAAAAAATTGTACGTGTTACTTTTTCTGCTTCTAAAGTGCATATAAGATTAACTTTTCTTCTTTTTACAAAAAAATTAAAATAAGCAGGAAATTCAAATTCAGCTAAATTTACTCCATTTTTTGTATCAAATCTTGTTGAAGGATAAATATAATATGTAGGCACTTCTTAGTTTAAATTTATTGAATCTTTAACTGTCTCAGGGGGCATTCCAAATTAAATAGGGCCTATTTTAGTTTTTAATACACAACCTCCTCTCATTAAATTGTATTTTTAATTTAATTATGCTTCTTAAAAATAAGATAGGATTTTACTTCTTTCTTATTCAATTGATTAATTCAAATCATCTATAAGAGTATCACCATCAATTTTTGATTACATACAACATGCCATTTTTAATAAAAATATATTAAAAAATACTTTATTTAAATATATTGGAAATTAAAAATAATATAATAAAAATAAATAAAAAAAATTATAATATAAAAAATCTTAAATAATAATTATTAATATTTATTTTGAAAATAAAAAAAAAGAAAAAGTAAAAAGTAAAAAAAAAATATAAATCAAATATAAAAAAAAAATTATATACAAAAAATTAAACTATTTATTTTAAAATAGTTTAAACTAAATAAAAAATACATAATTCGATAATAATTAATTATTTTAAGATAATTATTTTTATATATTATAGAAACAAAAGATAATTTATATTAATTTAAAAATTCAAATTTAAAAGTATATTGCTTTAAATCAATTTTATTAAAAAAATTAAAGCTTTAATTATAAATAATAATAAATTAACAATAATTATTATTATTTAAAATAAATATATAATAAAGTATATATATATATATATATAAATATATATATGTATATATATTTATTATATGTATATTTATATGTATATGAAATTTTATTTAATATTTTTCTTAACATAACTTTATATTATTATTTTATTATATAATTAAATATTTATTTACTTAATTAAGTTAATTTTTTATATATATAATATACAGATAAAAATAATTTAATAATAAAAAATAAAAAAGATTTATATGAACTTTCATAAACTTTTAAACTAATAAATATAAAATATTTATTTATTTATATTTAATATTTATATAATAATTATGGTAATTTAATATTAATATATTAAAATATCAATATGTACTACATCCGCTTGTATTTACTTTAACTATATCACTTACATCAAATCCAAGTTCTTTTACTTTACTAATTACTTATAAAACTTTGTTTTCATCATAATTATAGTCTCTTACTAAAATCCAAACATCACTACTTCCAAATTCATAGAATCCGTTACATCCTACAACAGCTGCAATATCATAACCATTATTAACATAAACGACTTCATAGTTAGCAGGAATTAATTAAAATATAGAAAATTTTATCTTAAATTTCCCAGGTGAAACAATTTTACCAGTTGCATAAGCGGATTTATGTTTTCCCTCTTAACTTATACCCTCATTATGAATATTTAGAGTTTCATCTGAATTTAATAAATAATTAGCAAATGCACAAATATCTGTTCTTTAAATATAGCTAAAAGATTCACTAACATAAGCACTGTACCATTTACCTAAATATTTATTTATATCCAAATCAAAATCAGTATAGTTTCCTGATTTGCAAGCACCTTTATTTCCTGATATAGAATAAATATAACCGATATTTAAAATTAAGCAAAAAACAATAAACATCATTTTATATATATATATATATATTTTAATTATTATATGAATTTTATATAAAATAAATTATAATAATTAATTAAAAAAAAATATTTTAAATATAGTGAGAAATAAAAAGATATTATATTATTTATATAAAAATAATAAATTCTTTTATAAAAATATTTGGTTAAAATTATTTTAAATTTAATTAATTTGAATTATTGAAATAATATAAATATAGGAAAATAAATTTATATATATTAATATAATAATAAAATAAGATTTTTATATATAAATAAATATATAAAAAAAAAATATAAAGCATTTAATATTAAAAGATATTTATATTAATAATACAAATATTTAAATATATAAAAAATATATATATTTGTATATATATAAATTAATAAATATCTAATTTTTATTTTATATTATCTAATATTTTATATTATCTAAATATTTACTAATTAATTTTACCGACATGACCCTTTTTATTCATATAATTGTTTTATGGTATATTTAGTTGATGTGTACCTTTATTTAAATAAATATTACATGATTCATAAACGTAACTTATTTAAGTATTTTTTTATTTTCCATTTTAAATGTTATAGTAAATAAAATTGTATAAGTAAAATATTTTTTTTATTTTTTTTATTTTAAATAAAAAATATTAAAAGAATAACTAATAGATTTATTACATAAATTATATTATTAAGAAAACAAAATTTTTTCAATTTATTAAAAATTTCAAAAATTAATTTTAATATTGAAAATAAATAATATTATTTCTAAAATTTAATACATTAATTAAAAATAAAAATTTGATAATAATATTTTATATAAATAATTTTTTATTTATTTAATTATTTATATATATGCTTTATATAAGGAAATAATATATATATATATATAATTTCATAAACTTAATTATTTAATTCTAAAAATGTTTTTTATAAATATTAAAAAAAATTAATATTTCTATTTAATTACTTATATATACTGAATATTATAAGCGTTAAAATATGCGTTTAAATAACGATTTAATTCAATATTAATAACTTGTAAATAACTAGAATAGTTTTATTTTAAATTGTTTCAGACAGATAATTTATTTAACTACTTTTATATATTTAATAATTTAGAATAAATTATTAAATATTTTTTTTTTTATTTTTATAAAATATATAGTATTTTTTTTTGTGTGTTTGGATTTATAAACAATATTAATTAATTTATTATTTTATTAATTTAAATGTAAATTTTTTATATTTTAGAGTAAATTACTTTATAATTTCATTTGAAAATTAATTATGGAAGAAATATAACCATAATAAAATGAATAAGTGCAAACTGATTCGAATACAAATTTAAAAATTAAAAAAAATACTAAATTTTATTAAGAAACAACAGTATAAAGTTAAAAAAGATCTAAATGGGAAGTAGTTAGAGACGTTTATATGGCTAAAAAATTTTAAAATGTGTATTTTTGAATATAAAAATACTTTATAATATATAACTATTTTTAAAATAAAAACTAGAACATTTAAAAAAATAGTTAATAGAATTGATAAGCAATTTGAAGGATAAAGATAATCTAATGCTAATTTTTTAGGTAAAAAAGCGAAAAAAAAATATATTTATTTTTCAAAAATAAATTTTATAGAATACAGAAGCAAATTTTATATTGATCCTGATAATAAAATTATAATATTTTGGTGTTATCTAACATCTATTATGTTATTTTATTTATTAATTTACATGCCGCTTTTAATTGCTTTTGGCAATAATATAATTAATAGAGAATATTTAATTTATTTTGAAGTTTTACTAGATTTATTATATATGATTGATATTTTACTATAATTTTTAACTGGAAGGGAAATTAATTCTATTTAAGTATATTAAATATGTGTATTAAGTGAAGATTATTTGAGGTATAAAATACAAATATTAAAAATTAAAAAATAATAATAATATATAATATACTGAAATTAGAAGTTATTTTATTTTTGATTTAATTTCAATATTTCCATATTATGTGATATTTTAAAATTAATATTATTATAATGCCTTTAAAGTTTTGAAAATAAGATTATATTGGGATAGATATATAAAGTTATTAAAGTTTATTATAAATAAAGTATATAATGAAAAAAAAAAATCAAAACATAACAAAATTTTTTTATATTTATAATAGGTTTTTTTTGTGAGTAAAGAAATAAAATATTAAATTATGGTTTTTAATTTAATTCGGTATTTTTTAAAATTAAATAATTTTATTTTTAAAATATTTTTTTAAGAGTAATTACATTAATTGTTATTAGTATTCATATCCTTTCATGTATTTGGATTTTAGTAGGATGTCTAAATGAAGAATCATGGGTAAATTAAATGAATTAATAAAAATAAGATTTGCATGTTAAAATTGAATTATAAAATAATATTTATATTTCCTCTTTATATTTTACTGTTACTACTATCACAACAATAGGATATGGTGATTATTAAGTTTATACAAAAAACGAAAGAATATTTGCATCAATATTTATGTTTATCGGAATTGCTTTATTTGGTTATATATAAGTAGGTTTGGTGGATGTAGTTAAAATGTCACTTTAATATGGTGAAAAAAATTTGAATTTATAAAAAGAAGATTTTGAAAATTGGATAATATATAGAGAACGAAACAATTAAAATGCAATGCCTAAAAAATTATTAAATGAATTACGCAAAACATATAATCTATAATAAAAATTAAATTTTTAAAATATTTTTTATAATAACTAATATTATAAATATCTTACATAGAATGAAAAAAATAAAATATTTTGTTAATATTTTTAATTTTTCGTTTAATAATTTTGTAGCTTTTTTAGAAATATTCCAGAAATAAATTTAATTGATTAGATTATTCAATAATTATAACCTTTAGTTATTTTTAAAAATAAATAAATTGTATATCATGATAAAATTCCTTCAGGTATATATTTTATAATCTAAGGTAAAGTACTTTTTGAAATACCTAAAGAATAATATGGTTTAATTAACAAATTAAGAATATTCAGAAAATTGAAATAAGGATCCTATTTTGGTGAATCCTGTTTGAATGCTAAAAGTACTCAATATAATATAAGATGTAGTTAAAAACATGATTTATATTGCTTATTTATACAAAGATAATAAATTTTAGAAATATTGAATTAAAATAAACACATATTCTAATGGATAAAATAATTTTCTAACGCCAGAAATTAATATTTTACATAGATAATTTAAAAAATATTACAAATACAAAATAAATAAATTGATAGTAATAGTTTTTTAGTGGATTAAAAATAAAATAATTTATAAAATTTAATAGATTAAAATTTAAATTTTTAAATTTTATAAAATTAAATAAAGAAATAAAATAATAACAAATTAAGCATTTTAGGCATTTTATCTGAAAACTATAATTATTTAAATATTAATAAATAGGATGATGATATATTTATTTACTAAGATATTACATAAGATAAAATTGATGAATAATTAGAACCCAAATAATATAATATACTCAAATTATAATAATAATAAAAAATTAATTAAAATTAACTTTCAATAATTTTAAATAATAAAAAAATAAGAAATTAATATATTGAAAATAATGATTACTATAATCAATATTATGACAGTAATAATCATTATGAAATTAAAAAGAAAAATTCTAAAATATTTAAGATATCGAATTAGTTTTCAGAAGATGATATTTAACTTTAGTTACAAGGAAGTACTAATTAAATGACATAAAAAAAATAACTAATTGGAAATTTAATTGCAATTGGAGGTAATGATGAATCTTTTAATACAAATAAATAAATTTAATATAAAAATGATGAAAATAGAAAAAATAAATATAAAAATAATTAAATGAAGCACTAAAAAAATATAATGTTTAACTAATTTATATAAAATAATTAAGTTTTAGTTAAAGATAATATTTTTTTAGATAATTAAGAAAATCAAAATAATGATATGTTAATTTAAAATGAAAACGATAGTGAAAATTAAATATTATAACTATAATTATCTCCTAAATATACGAATAATAAATTATTAAGTGAATAAGTCAATAATAATATAATTTTAGATGATTATAAAAATAATTACTTAAAAATAAAAACATAAGAAAATAACTAAATTAATAGAAGAAAAACTTCTACATCTCCTACAAGATTGCTCAAAATATAATAATTTTAATAAAAATAAATGACATCAATTAGTGAATGGAATCGAATTAATTCAAATAAACTGATACTTAAATAAAATCTAGCTGATAGAATTTAATAAATAGTTGTCGATGCAACTGACAAAAAATAAGGTATTATAAGCCGAATCAAACAAAAATTATAAAATAAGAGAAATGATAATTTAAAAAAAAAATCATAAAACAACTAAAAAAAATAATAAAAAGAAGAAGAATAATAAATTTATTTATCAAACTTTTATGCTCTATTATAAATTAATAAATTAACTAAATAATTTAGGAAAATCGAAAAAAAATATATAGATATGAGTTAATTGACATAATAAGAATAAAGTTTTTTTGAAGATTTTACTAATTCTAAATAAATGCCTACTATTATTTAATAATCAATAAATCTTAAATAAAATGAAGAAAAATCAGAAACTGATAGCGATGATAACGAATATCATTACTTTATAAACAAATCATTTGATATTCCTTTAGAAATTATTAAACCAAATAAATATTAAGAAGACTTCGAGTTTGTATTCCCATATCTTAAAGTAATATATATATTTTTTTATAAATTAATAATATATTTATTTTGTTAAAAAATAGAATTAGTTACATACATTTTAAAATAAAATAAATGAAATGAAAAAACAGATAAATAATTTTAATGATTTTTGCTAATTAAAGGCATAAAAAATAAAAAAATAATATAAAAATGTAAAAAGTGATTATATAATTAATAAAAACAAAAATTATATGAATTATATTATTTTTAATTAATTTTTCGGAGAAGTCTATAAATTCGCATATATTTGCTTATTTCATATTGTTTTTTTATTTTGTTTTCTATAAATTTTATTTTAAAATCTCAATCAAAAAAAGTAAAAAAGACAATAATCTAATCATTTTTTAATTTAAAGAATTTTTTTTATTTATTTTTAAATTATAGGCTATTATCTATAATTTATAAATCATATGAATTATATTAATTTAAAAAATATTAGTCTATAGCCTTTTTTTTATTGAATTTATTCTTAAAATAATAAAATACAATATCAATAAGTAAAAAAATATTACATTAAAATTTAATTTATTTCAAAATATTAATTTTTTATTTTTCTATAAATAATAAAAATTGTAAAACTCTATGCAAATAAATATTATAAAAAATATTTATCTTATATATTAGATTCATAAATATTTATTAATATGATTCGATATATTTGAAATAATTATAGCTAATTTATCAGAAAACACATCAAAATGAAAAAGATAAATTCTAAATTAATAATTAAAATAACTATAAATTAAATATGCAGTTTTTTACTTTATTATATAACTAATAAAGTTTTGTTATTTAAAATATCTTAATTATACAATTATTTTATGTTTATATTTAGGATATATTAAAATAATTTTGGTTTAGAAATCAATTATATTATTTTAATGAATTATATTCATTTTTAATTAGAACTTATAAATTTAATATCAGTTCAATTACTTATAAAAAAAAATGCTTTCATATAAATACATTCAATTGATTAATATATTTGAAAAAAATAATTTTCATTCGTTTAAATTTAAATAAATTATGTTTCCTGAATACTTTATTAATTTTAATAAAAGGCATTTTTATCACAATTATTACTTTTCTTACATTTATAACAAAAAAAATATGGTACAAAAAAGATAAAAAATATAATAATTAAGTAATAGAAAGATATTAAATAAAATTAAATTAATTATTCATAAAAAGAAGAACGAATTTTTGAAAAATTAATTAATTTGCCTTCGAACTTATAAATGCTAGATAATCCTTGTTTTCATGAATATTATAGATATGATATAATTTAAATTTAATGCAAAAAACTCAATAAAAGCATAAATAAAGTTTAGAAAATGAAATTTATCTTAAAATTGCTTTTATAAAGTCAAAATAAACTAAAATTATTAAATCAATTTTAGACTTAATTTATTGGTAAAATAAAAACTTCTTAGAAATAATTAAGTTTCTTTTATTAATTGAATATTTAAAAATCTTATTAAAGAAATTAAAGAAACAAAAAAAACATGATGGCCCAGACAATAAAAATTAAGAATTTCAAGTAGAAATATCTTAAAAAAAATAAGCTAATATTGATTTCTAATAATGATAATAAAATAAAAATATATAATTTTCAAAATATACTTATTTTTTAGATTATTTTTAATGAAAACATTAATTATATATTATTTTTTAATAAATCGACTGATTTATTAGTAATATGTTAAATAATTTTTTTTTTTTTTTTAATAAAATATACTTTTTAAAAAAGTATAATAAATAATCAGTAAAAATTTACAAAAATACTTTATTTCGAAGAATTATTTTAGAAAAAAAATAACAAAATTAATTATTATAATACCAAAAATAATTATATTTCATTAAGAAATGAAAGAAATGAAATATAACTAAAATACTAAACATTAAAATTAAATAAAAAAATCATCTTTATAAAGAAATATGATATATAATAAATAATATTTAAAATTATTTAAATTAAATCTATTAATATAAAAGTTAATTATAAAATATTATATTCATTAGATAATAAAAATTCAATGAATTAATAATAAATCAAACTAAATCTTTTTATAAAATAAATTAAAAATAAGTAAAATAATATTACGAGCAACTAAAATAAACATATAATGTACTTTTACACCAAAAGCAAATAGTTTTGATGAAAAACTTAAAAAAAAAAATTATATAAATGAAATATAATAATAATTATAAAAGATAAATTTAAACATAAAATAAATTTGCCTCTTTAATTTAGAGATAGACAAATAAATAAATAAAAAAATACTAATATTGATTTGAAAAATGGAAAAAAAAGGAAAAATATTAATAAATAAAAATAAATTGTTTAAAGATTTATTAACTAATTATAAAAAAATATATTAGATACAAAAAGTAAAATATGCATTATTATGTTTAAAAAGGTTTTTTATAATATTAATTTACGAAATGGAAATAAATATAAAATTTTATATATATTATAATAAATAATTTCTTAATTAATTTAAAAAATAATAATAATTTATATTTAAAAAAACAACAAAATAATTTATTAAAATAAAAAATATTAATCACCTCATTAAGAAGGTATATTCATTCCTCCCATATTCATATTAAGCTTACTAGGATCAAAAGGTTGTCCTTTAAAAGGTGAACCTTCTGCATTCCAAGCATTTTTAAGAAGTTCCAATTATTTTTCTTCTTCAGATGTTGGTAATCCCATTTGTTTTCTTTATTATTCATACATTATTTTTCTAAGAGCACTCTATAATTTTTATAAAAAATATACATAATATATTTCATATTTTTATTTTTTCCTAATTTTTTTATTTTTTTAAAAACTAATCAAAAAAAAAAGATGATATAATTACACATATTTAATAATTTTTTTTTTTTTTTATTCTTAAAAATAACAGACAAAATAAAAATATTTATATAAACATATAATAATTAAAATAATAATATAAAAATACTTAAGTTTCATTATCAAATGAATCTAAAGGCTTAGTATTATCAACTTTTGTAGCATCGATTTCAGGATCTCCTTTAAATACAGTTTTCCAAATTGTTTCGATTCCTTTTTCGAGTGTAAGTATAAATTTAAAATCATCATCAATATTCCAGGTTGAGTCATCTATTTTTATTTTTTCATAATATTCGCCTTGTATTAATATTTCATTTGTTTTCTTCAATTTAATGCTAAATTTATCTTAATTTAAATTTACTATTAACTTTATAATTTATCTTTTTAAAAATTATAAAATAATATATATTATTACATCTTTAGCTCTTGTATTTTTAGGAAGCTATATTTCTACAGTAACATCAGTTATACTTTAAGACCATTTATATTTATCATTTACTCCTCCATTATATGTAGAAATTGATAAAGATACATGCTTTTTTTCATATTCATTTTTATTTTCTTCCATATTTGATTATTTTTAAGATTCCAAAGGATTATTTTTTATTTCAATATTTTAATTTTATTTATCAACTAATTTTTCTTAATTTTATTAAGAATTTATTTATTTTTATTATACATTCGTTTATTATTATTATGTATTCTATCTTTAAATATCTTTTTATTCTTCTAACTTTTTTTTATATTCTTCTAATTTTTTTGCAGATTCTTAAAGATCTTTTTTAGGGAAACGTTTATAGTGTTCGTTTTGGTATTACATGAATATTTTATTCAACTATATATTAATATAAATAATAAAATAATTATTTTATAAGTATATTTAATTGTATATACTAATTATTATGAAACCCCAGGCAAAAAGCCCATTTTGTCTCCTGGATCAGCTTTTATTAAAAAATAAATATTTTATTTTATAAAAAAATTAATTTATTACCTTCATAAAAAAAATCAGTGCGCCTATAAAGAAAATTAAACATAGAATGAAGAACTCCTTCAATACCTCCTGTTTCTTTACATATAGTAAAATAATAATCATCAAATCTAGATAAATTTTCCATTTATTTAAACTTATTTTAAAAATATTTTTATTTATTAAAATTTAATTAAAATGAAATAAAAAATCTATTTTCTAAAACAAAAATATACAATAATAAAAAATATTTCTAAAATTAAAAATTAATAATTTATAATCAAAATTATTTATTTTATTTCTAATTTAAATGTATTAAAAAATATATATAAATTTAAATATATCTATATATATATATATATATATATATATATATACATATACATATACATATACATATTCATAAATATATTATTTATTTATTTTTTTATTTATTTTATATCTAAAATTTTTAGTTTATTTTATTTATTTTTATTTTATTTTTATTTTATTTTTTATTTTTTTAATTTAACAATTATAAAAAATATATAATATTTTTATAATTTGATTTTCGATTTTATATTTTATTTTTAGAATTTTATATAATCAATCTACAGTATAACCAACCTAATTTTTTCCTAATAAAATATCAATATTTACCCATGAATGATATTTATCAAATAACATTGTTCCATCTTTTCCTACACCTAACATAAGCTTATGTTTGCCTCCTGGATGATAATTCAAATAACCAGTTACATCGTATATTTTATTTTATATTATTATCCATGCATCATTTTCATTATTATGTTATGCTACTTGTTATTTTGTATATCCCTTTATTTAATGATTTTTTTATTGATATTATAATGTAAACTCTTTATAAGTTCCTTAAGTTTTTACTTTTTCTCTTTTATTTATAGCATTATTATTCATTTTTATAATTATAGGCAAAGTTAATATAACTTATTCTTTTCTTATATTATCTTTAAATTTTTGTATCGATACTTTTTCATCAGCTTATTAATATGTATATATTTCTTTAAATTTAATATCTTGTTTTTCACAGGAATTGTTTTTGATATTTACAAATATTATTTTTATGTTTTTATCTATAATTTAACTTTAATTTATTTCATTATTTTATTCATCCTTTTTAAATTTTCAAGTTTTAACATATTTAAAAAAATGTTTTACTTTTAAAGTTATTTCCTAATTTTAACTTTCTTTTTAAAAATCCTGTATAATATATTAAATTATCTAAAGAATATTTTCGTTTTTTGCAGATTCAAAACTTATTTTTTTAATATAAAGCTCTTTTTGATATTTTATTTAAAAATAATAATATACCAACATAGTATTAATTCCTTGTTTGATGAGATAAATTTAAATTCAATTTAATTTATTTAATCCATTGATGATTAAATAAAATATAAAATATTAATTTTAGAAAAAAATTAAAAAGCATAATATTTTAGATTAAAACAAATATTTATAATTATTTTATTATTAATAAAAAATAAATAATATTGTTATTAAATTTTTTTTTTGAATTAAAAAAAAAATTATTATATAAATATTTTTATAATTTATTATATTCATTATTTTTTAGTTATTAAATTAAAATTAAGTTTATTTTTCACTTCTAATTTCAATTAATTTTTATTTGTATTTACATAGACCTAGGTAATTTATCTAATTTTTTATTACTTAATTATATTCTTCTTATTTTTAATTATGAAATAAGTTTTCTCTAACAATATTTCTTCTTTTTTCAAGCCTATTAATATCACAAATATTTGGTTTTATAAAATTTATATTTTGAGCTTTTTACTATTAATAAAAGTATATATATTTTTAGTTTAAATATATATTTTTTTAGTTGAATATATATATATATATATATTTAGTTTTATTATATTATTATTACAATATCTGTGTCTTTAACAGTTAATAATTAAATGCCGAAATTTTTAGGCTTTTTTTCTTCTTCTTCTTTTTTTTCTTATTCTTTTTTATAAATTTTAAATTTCTTTCTCATAAGTAAATTATTATCAAAATCATTTATAGTTCTCTTATAAAGTGAATATTAAATTACATTTTTTTATTTTTACTTTCTAAATTTCTATTAAATTATTTATTCTTGGCTTTTCTTTTAAAAGTATATTTTAGTCTTCTATTTTGTTTTCTAAATTATAAAAAGGATCATTTTATAATTTGACCCGATCTTATTCGTCTCTCATAAAAATTACATCATCTTTTGCTTTTTCAGTATTTAACTATTAATTAAATGTATTTTGTATTTAAATTTTATATAATAAATAAAAGATATAATAACTTAAAAAAAAAGGAAACTATTAAGTTTTTTTTGTTAAGTTATTTATAAAAAAATATAATTACTATTCTTTTAGCTCCTTCAACATACTTGTAGTCTGTATTTTCAGGATCAGTATGTACCATTATTTTATTTGAACAAGCAGGGCAATTCATAACAAACTGCCATATTGTAGTTGACATATATTTTCCGACTATGATTAAAGAACATTATTAATAATGATATTAAATTAATTTATTTTTTAAAATTGATTTTAATTCAAAATATAAATTTTATTAAATAATTAATATATTTATTTTACTTCTGCTTTTTTCAGCATTAAATCTAACTCCTTTTGCTATCATATTTTGACATTTCTCACATTTAACATGAAATGGTGTTTCATATCTTATTACTAAAATTCCTTAATCTATTTTTTTCGCTCTGTCACCAAGTGGATGTGATTTTTGAAATTTATTTAAACTTCCCTTTTTTTGTTTACTTAAAAAACCTTGATATTTTTTTAACTTTTGAAGGATCCCAATCTTTTGGATAATAATAATTATCTGCCCTTGCTGCTTTAAGACTTGACATTTAATAAAGCTATTTTTTATTTTTTTGGGTTTTTTTATATATGACTTTTTTTTTAGTTATCTTTTAAAAAAATATATAAACTAAAATAAAAATATTATAAAAATAAAAAAAATAAAAAAATAAAGTAAATTATAATATATGTATAAAAAACTGGTTTTGAAATCGTGATAATATAAGATAATATTTTATAATATTAAAATATAATTGTTTCTATTTAGTTTTATAGCTTATACTTACTAATAATATTAAAATCTAAATATCTTAATAATTTATAAAAAAATTAAAAATTACTTTTATTTAATAATAATTATAAAAACATTCTCAACTAAACTATTATCTTAATTTTAAGATCTCGAAATTTCAATTTTTTAATAAATCCTTTTAATTTAACCTAATATTTTTTTATTTTCTTTAACTATTATAAAAATATTCTATAAATTTATCAATTTTTTTATAGATTGCCTTTAATAAAATAAATCACTTAATAGAAAAATTGAGAAATTATCATACCACTTTTATAAAAAAAAAATTACTTTTTTTATAATTTAAACAACAAGTAAAGAAAAGAAAATATGTTTTAAATTTTAATCTTTATATTATTATTATTCTATTATATTTGCTTAAAAAAATAAATTAAAAATAATAACAAAATTTACCTACAAAAAGGATAAATTAATTTATTTATTTTTATAAATAACTTAGTTTTTTATGTTAACCAATTAAAATTTTTTGAACTGGATACTTTAAATAAATATATAATAAAATTAATATTGAAAATGTCATATATTTATATAAAAATAATTATATTAAACATAAAATAATTTAATAAAAAAATAAAAAATATAATAAAATAAAAAATGAACACAAGTAAAAATAAATGAAAATAAAAATTAATATTTATCCTAAATTATAAAGGCCCTATAATTCCAGTTTTTACATCATATCCTAATTCAGAATAGATACCTTAAGAAATAAAGAAAATATTTAAAAGTAAAAAAGCTATTAAAATTAATGATTAAAATAAATAAATATTTACTATCAAGATAGTAAAGATAGTTTTAGTGAAGTTGAAAATTCAAATTAAAACCATTTTATTTTAGATGGATGTAAATATTTTTTTACATAATTTAATAATATATTATTATATTATCCACAATTACTTTGAATTTAAAAAAGTCCACGAAGAAACTGAAGAATTTGATAAATATGAACTAAATATACAACATTCATTAGAAACATTATAATAAACAACATTATAATTATGTCCTTTTTGTTTATTTCCAGTATCATAAACCCCATTTAAACTTATAGAAATGTAGGCCGTGAAAGAAAACAGATATCCATGTCATTAAAAATGTTATGATAATAATTAAAGCAGCATAAAATTAAAAAAGCAATAAGATTTTATTGAAACTATTTATCGAAATCCCCAAAATTATAATGAGAATATTAATTTATATAAAAATATTAAAATTACATCACCCAAGTAGTTAAGATCACATTTAGTTTTATTAGAAATATAACATCCTATATCAAATGCAACTATTTTTAATATTTCTTAAATATCAGATTTATACTAAAGCCCGAATTCAGTATGAATATATATATTTTTAAATGCGTAATAATTTAAAATTATATACGCATATTTGCTATTATTTTATTAATTTTTAAAATAATTTTATCTTAATTAAAGAATGATGCAGATTGTTTAAAGTTAAATTTTTCACAAAATTTACTGTACTAACCTAAAAAATATATTGTACCTATTCATAGTTTCAGTGTCAAAGCAACAATAATAGACATAGAAGAAGTAAAAATAAATCTACAAAATATATATAATTATATGAATTAATTATAATTTTTTTATTATAAAGAAAAATAAACTTGAAATAGACTTCTATGTAAATTTAAAACATCTAGAATAAAATACATATATTTAACTAATAGCGGTATATTTTTTGTTAAAATATCCATAAAATTAATAACATAAATATTTAAAAGAAAAAAGAAAATTTAGGAGAAATAATCATGAGTGGAGCTATTTTATAAAAAAATAATATTCAAAATTTAAATAATTTATGTGAATATTAATTTCCTTAAAAATGGTTTGATTAATGCTTAGGAAATAAATGCTTTCAAATTTTATAAATTGAAATAGAATTAATAGATACGGCATTTAAAGCGTAAATAAATATAATTTTATCAATTAAATAAATATTAAAAATATAGAATTGAAAATGTACGCTAATAATTTCTTAAAAATCCTGATTTTTTAAAATTTTAATAAAATATGACTTGTTTTACACCTTCGCTTCCCTCATATGGTATAAAATTAAGTATCTTCTATTATCTATTAATTATTTAAAAGGTTCTTCGCCATGTTGTAGTCCTTTAAGAGATATTAGCCCTACGGGGGCAACAACTCCTCCATATGAATAATTAAATTATTTATAAATAAAAGGACAAATAGCATAAAAAGTTACTAAAAACAAAGAATGGTCTATTGCTATATAAAATTTAATAAAAAAATCAGCGTAAAACTAAAATTATTAAGAAATATAATTAGTAATTGATGAGGTTTTAAACTAAATTGGATATTTAATGAAGCATTAATATGGAAACTATTTTTCAACTACCTTAATATAGACTTGTTCAATAAATTAATTATGCTAAATTTTATAATAAGTAAAAAAATTTTAATAAGCTTGTATATATATATATAAAATAATAAATTAAAATAGCTAAAAGAAAAAAATATTTTTACTGAAATTTGTTAAGATGCTTAAGGAACACATACAATGTAATCTTTGATAGAAACTATTAAAAAAGAATATGAAAGAGAATAAAAATTAATTAAAGAAATGATTGAATAGAATTTAATAAATTTGGTTTTAGTAATTATATATATATATATATATATATATATATATATATATATATATAAAAAATAGTTTTATTATTTTATTTTAAAAAAAAAAAAAAGAATATGCATAGTTCTCATGTAATTAACAAAATTATTTTAGGATTTTAAATATAATATATATATGATATATTTGATTAAATAATGAATAACTTTATTCCTATAGTTACCAATAAATAGGGAGTTATTATTGTAAATTTTTATTTTAACTTTATTTTGAATTTAAAATATATAAAATTGTTAATAGATTAAGTCTTTAATGAAAAAATTTAAAGATTTAAATTAATAGAGATAAATAATCCTATAATTTTTATAAACAAATTTATAACTAATAGTAGAAGATTAATTTGGAAACTATGCATTATAAGAAGCTATAAAAGTAACAAAAATATATATATATATATTAAAATAAGCTATTAATAAATAATAATTCAAAGCTCTATAATAATAATGAAACTGTTTTTATTAATAATTATGTTTTTGATTAACTAGTAAATCTCTCTTAAAGTTAAGTTTCTTCAAATATAGTTGAATGTATTTTAACTTATAATAAAAAAGTAATTTAAAATTTTAAAGATTTTAGCATTTTTTTTTTTTAAAAAAAAATAATTTTATTTTAGGATAGAGTTAGATTTATATAAAAAATCATGGATAATATGAATATACTATTTTTTGATCCATTTGGCAAATTTGTAGTTAAAAGAGTTTTAAATCTGTTTGATGTTGATTATTGTTTACTTGAAAAATATCAATAGATATTTAAAAACTTTTTGCGAAATAATTAAAAATTTTAAAATTTCTACGAAATACAAAAAAATCAAAAATAAATAAAAAAGTTAAATAAAAACTGAATTAAATAAAAATGATAAATAAAAAAATTTATAATTTATTATAAAAATATTTTAGAAAAGTAGTAAATTTAAACTATTAAATAATAATTATTATTTAATATCTATTTAATTAAAAATATATTAACAAAAAGATTGAATTTCTATTATAAAAAAATAAAAAAATAGTTAATAATTTAATCAACAAATCTTGTTATATTCTGTTTTATTCATCTATAAAATAATTAAACATTTATAAATACATATTTTTATTTTATTTTTTAACTGATTATATTTATAGTTAATCCAAATAATGAAATTTATATCTAATATTGATTTAATTTTTAAAATAAATATAAATTAAAAATTATAATTTTAATTAACAAAGTATTTTAAACAAATTCTAATTTTTAATTTAAAACGAATTTTATTTTATATATTATTAAATTTTTTAAATACATTTACTTTATAAAATAAATAAATACACATGTATTTTAAATTAATAACTTTTTTATTTTTTTAAATGATTTTGTAAAAATATTGAGAATATATTTATTTTTTAAAAATAAAATTGCTATTTTAAAAAATATTAAAATAAATAAATAAAGAAAGATAAAATAAAAATAAAATGTATCAAACAAAACAAAAAAATATAGAATGTAAAACAAATTTATATTATTAAATCAATTTTTTATTTAATTATAAAGAGTATTCTCCATACCAAAAAAATCATAATTCAAACGAATAAGAATATTATAAATATAAAGATGAAATAAATCGAAATACAAATCAACATTATAGTTTTGAAGATTCAAGTACTGAATAGTGTAGTTCTTCTTCATTTGTAACAGTGATAAATAAATCATAATAGGCCATAAAAAAGTCAAATATAATTAAGATAAATAAAACAAGTAAAAATCAATAACCAACAAATTTAAAATTGCAATAATAAAATAAATAATTATTGTAAAAATATCATTAAACTAATAAAAGTTAACCAAGATAAAAAAGTTAAACTTTAAAAACAAAAAGTGTCAGTTCATCAATAGAATCTATAAAAAGTTTAAAAAATTAACATAGTTAAAGATAAAAAAGTGACGAAAAATAAAAAATTAAACATTATTTAGAAATTTAAAAAAACAGAAAAGAATTTTAATAAAAAGAGTAATTAATAAATTAAAATAAGAAAATTTAGCAAAGTTCTTTAAAAAAAAGGAGATTTTTTAATAAATTAATATAATTAAAAACGATGATCTTGCAAAAAAACTATCAAAAATAAATTATTTAATTAATAATAATTAAAATTAAGATTCAAGTAATATATAAAGCTTTGAAAAACATTAAAAAAATAATAGCCTTAATAAAGTATATTCTATAAAAGAAGAAGAAGATGAAGATGTTTAATAGCAATCTGTTTTCGAATATTAATAAGGATCTTCTGAATTTGGTAATTATAATTAATAGATTGAAAATGATATTGAAATTCAAAGAAATAGACCTATATAACCTTATTCTAAAATTTAATAGTGTTAGGCTAATGATTCTTAATTAAATCAGAAGAAATAATTCTAAGAACAAATATAATTATTATAATAAGAAAATGACAATTAATAAGAAATGATTATTTAACTACAATAATAGTTACATAATCTTCATAATATATAATAAAGTTAAAATATGGATTAATTAATTGATTAAATAAATTAATTAGTATTATAAAACTAATAATTAAAAACTGAAAAAAATTAATTATAATAAAATTTGGAAACAAAAGACAATATTATTCTTTAATTATAATAATAAATAAAATTTGATTAATAAATCTGTGATAAAAGAATATAAGATTAAGAAAAAAAATACAGTATTCTTTATTAATAATTTCAAAATATGGAAAAATAAAATTTATAATATAGTATATAAATAAATTAACAAGTATAAAGTAATGAATAGTGCAATTAGTGCTATAATTTAAAATAAAAATTATAGAAACTATAGCAATAAAAAGATAATCATTAAGTACTTAATATTATAATAAATAAATTATAATTATTTATTATTATTAAAGTAAGAAAGGTTAGAATTTAATTATTTATAAAATAATTATAATCTTCTTGTAGAAAAATGTAAAAAATATCAATCTAGAGAATAAGAACTTGAACTCTCTATATTAAAAACTAAATAAGAACTAGCCGAAGCTTTAAATAATCAATTTGAAAATTTAAATATTAAAGAATGAAAAATACAAAATACATATTATATTTAATTAAAATATTTATATTTTATTAAAATAAAAAAGACAATTTTTTTAAATTTTAATATAATTATTATAAAAATAAATAATATATTTATAGTTTTTATTTTTTACTAATTATTTTATAACAAATGTATATAAAATTTCATATATGATAATAAAATATTTAAATTAAAAACTAATGAATTTATATTAAATTAATATTTAATATTTTGAAAAAATAATAAAAATTATATATTTATTTAATTGAATTAAATATAAAATTTTTCTATTAATCAACTTTAATTTTAGTAGTATTGATTTTTTTTATTTAAATAACACATTAACCAGCAATTATAAACTTTAATTTTCTTTTTATCCTTAATATATTATTGAACATCAATTTAAGTTTAATTATTTAATTTACTTTATAAAAATGTTGGTTCGAATTCTTTATATTATTCTTCTTAGACAATATTAAATGAAAATCTCTCAAAAGTAGTTATATTCATAAGTAAATTACTTAATTATACATAGCATAAAATTGATAGAGGGAAAAAAAAAATAGAGCACATTAATAGAATTATACTACTTGCGATTATATTTAAATAATTTTAAAAATAAAAACATTATTTATAATGTACTTAAAATTGATATATAGTTTATACTATAACAAAAACTATATTAAACCACAAAAAAATAATAAAGAGAGTAAAAAAAACTAAATTATGAGCTCCAACGCAATTATTTATCCAAGGGCAATGATGATCATATACTTTTACACATTATTTGCAAATTTCACAATGTCTAGACCTGTTTGGTTTAAGTATTTGACAATCAATACATATTTTACTTTAATCGTTTTCAATTTTAAACAATTCTAATAAAATTTCATCCGGAGTTTTTATATTATTTTAATTTTAAAGCTATTTTTGTTCCTCCATTAATAATTAAGCTTATATTTATTATTATTCATTTTATTCATATATTTCACTTTATTTTTTTAAAATTAAAAAATCATATAATTTTTTTATAAAATTTACTTAATTTACCTACTATTTTCTTATTAATTTTTTGATTCTTCAATTCTAGTTTTATTATTTTTTTATATATTTTTATTTTTTCTTTATCCTTAGGTCATGATGCGATTTTTTTTAAAGTAACCAGGATTTTTTCTCCAAGATAAAATAAAAAAAAGAATAACAAAAAAATTAAAGGCAATAGAAGGAACATAAAGGTATAAATATTGAATAGAAAAGCAAGGTAAATTAAATATATAAAATAAACTTTAATTTGATATAAAAAGAAAGAGTAAAAGACAAGCTTATTTATTTTATTTTTATTAAGGTTTAAAAGGCTATCTAATATTACAATATTCTTAAATACCACCAGTTTAAGTAATCATTTATTCAATATTAAAATATTCTTTTTCTTTAGCAATTTAAGCTGGGGTTTTATTAAGGGTATTTTTTAAGTTTCTATTTGCACCTTTTAAAAGTAATTTTTTAACAATTCTTGCATTTCCAGAAATAACTGCAAGATGTAAAGGCGTAAGATTTTCCTTTTTTTTTTTTTTAATTATTATAAATATATTTAAATTACATTATCTGGTTAATTTATATCTTTTGTATTAAAAATTAAATAATTTGCACAATTTTCATTTCCTAAATAACATGCCCAATGTAAAGGTGTACCTCCTTTAAAATCTATATCATTTAAATTACATCCTAAAGTATTTAAAAAACACAAAGAAATCGATTTATCTCCTTAAGCAGCTAAATGTGTAGGTTTTTATCCTTCATTATTTTATATATTAAAATCGCAATTATAATCCTTTATCAAAGCTTCTATTATTTAAATATTCCCTGTATAAGATGCATAATGAAGTGCTGTATTTCCTTCAGTTGTTTTATATTATAACCATTATTTGATTTCTTGATGAGATTTCTAAAGCTTATTTTTAGCATAGTCTATTAAGTAGTAAAATATATGTATTTTATCATGAATTATTGCTTTATGGATTAAACTTTGGCTTTTTTTATCTTTAACTTATGTAATATCTATATTCTCTTTTAAAGATTATAATATCTATTAAATACTTAATATATTGCTCTCTAATGCTTCTTTTTAAATTTATTCAAATATTTCAGAGCATTATCTATCATTTTCTATTAATAAATCCATTTTTATTTTATTTTCTTTTTAATTATTTTTTAAAATATATGTTATTTTTTATCAATTTTTTGTTATATTGATAAAATAAGGTGTTTATCATATAAAAAAATGTATTTATCCTATTACTATAACAATAATAAAAAATAAAATTTAATAAATTTATATTTAAAAAAAAAAAAAAAAGTTAAATAATTTAAAAAATACATTTCATTAATATTTTTATTTTTTAGAAAATAATTAAAATAAATTATAATAAAAAAGATAGTATTATTAAATCGTCATATTATTTTATATTATTTATATTAATTTTATATACAAATATATAAAAAAACAAAAAAAGCTAAGCATAAAAATTATAAAAACTTAAAAAATGATAAATTATTTCCTAACTATATTTTTTTCATTAATTTTCATAATATCAATAATTTATTTGATATAAGACCAACCATTATCTTATTAAAAATCGCAAATGTTTCTTTACGATGAGTAAATATCTAAAGATATGGCAGCCCTTAGTTTAGTATCATATTGCTAAAAGCAAAAAATATAAGACTGGAATTGTGCAAATGCCTGTAATAAATTTCCATATAAACTCCAAGATGTATTTATTTTTACAAATAAAACATTGGAATCAAGAGGATTAATAGGTTATTGGTAAGAAAAAGAAGCCATCGTTTTATCTTTCAGAGGAACACTTCCTTGGTTGTTAAAAAACTGGATTGAAGACTTAGATGTTTTTAAGATAACTTATGAGGAATGCGATAATTAATGCGAAATTCACCGAGGATTTGAGTAAACTTTTAACGTAATAAAAGCCTAATTAATTGAAAATTTTATATTTTTAAAATAAAAATACCCAAACTCAAAAGTAAAGATTTAATTTTTTTTTATCATAAATATTATATTACATAATTATGTTTTTTATTTTCTTTCTGAGATAATTTATTATTAAAAAGATTTTCATAACCGGGCATTCTTTAGGGGGAGCTATGAGTAATTTGGCAGTGCCCATAATCTATAGACTAAACCAAAATAAACCAATTGATTATTTCTATAACTTTGGATCCCCAAGAGTTGGAGATGAAAATTATGTTGAATGGTTCGAAAGAATCTAATAATAATATATTATTAATAGAGCTAGGATAACCCATAATGCTGATCCTGTGCCACATTTACCTCCCAATTGGTATCCATTTAAATTCAAACATATAGGAAATGAAGTTTATTATAAATATTTTAATTAAAAATATTTTTAATGTATTGAAAGTGAAGATATTAATTGTTCAAATGGACTATTAATTCCTATTAATCTGGTAGACCATCTCAATTATTTCGGATGGAATTGGGCCTATGATATTTTATAGTGTTAATGAAAAATTTTTATTTAATTAATTATTATATATTTTTTTTTAATATGTATATTATTTTGAAGAAATGAAACAAATTATATTATTTTAATATATTTTATTTAATAAATTATGGAAATATTTACTAACCTTTAAATTATATAAAATAAATATATTTTTTTATTTAATTTATTTTCATTTTATAAAAAAAATATTATTTTTTTAAAACAAAATATGCAAAAATAAAAATACTTAATTTTGCACTATATTTAGGTCAATTTATTATAAATGCTGCAAATTCCGTTATAGCGCCATTTTTTCCATAATTAGCAGAGAAATAAGGGATAAAAGAAACAGTCATTGGCTTTATATTTAGTGTTCATCCTATAGGAAATTTCATTTTTTCTTTAATTTTAGGTAAGTAATTATCCGAAAGTAGCAAAAGAAAAAAATATACCATATTTGGTATTATTTTAACAGCTGTTGGACTTTCTGCATTTATTTTTATAAAATATATAACAATTAATTGGATTTTTATAACAATTACTCTTATATCAAGATTTATATTAGGAATGGTATTTTATAAATATATATTAATAATAATTATCTTATTAAATTTATCTACAATATAGGGCCAAGCATTTTTTAGTACGCCAGCATATTCATATATACCAATATTTTATAAGGATACATTTGAAGAAAAATGTGGCTGGATGGAAACTATGTGCGGATTAGGTTTAATGATGGGTCCTTTATTGGGATCTTTATTGATTTACTTAGGAGGCTTTATTACTCCATTTATATTCTTTACTATTGCTTGTACAATTTTAGTATAATTTTATTATATATATAAATAAATACAAATAAAAAAAGGCCCCTGTATTAATGTAATTAGTTCCAAATATAAATGAAGAAGCTTTATAAGAAGAAATAATTGTAAAAGAATAATAAAGCAGTTTAAGTGGAAGTAGTTAAAATAGCGAAAACGAATAAATAAAAGATTATGTAGAAATTTCATATAAAGAAATATTTAGAGATAGATATTTAATTTTTAATTATATTCTTATTTTATTACCTAGTTGTGGTTTATTATTTTTAGATCCAACTATGGGTATTTATTTTAATAAAGTCTATGGCTTAGATGATTTATGGGTAGGATTATTATTTTCTGTAGGAACTGTCACTTATTTAATTTTATCACCTTTAGGGACTTATATGATTAAATATGTAAAAAATTATTCTCTATTGTTATTTATAGGAACTTTTATTACCGGATTATCTTTTATTTTTTTAGGGCCGGATCCTTTATTAGGAATTCCTTCAAAATTATATATAACATGTATAGCAAATGTTTTTATTGGAGTTGCAACTTTATTTATATACATTCCTGCTCTTCCCTAATTATATAAAATTTTACTTAGGATATAAGGTAAAGATATAAAAAATGAGTAAATAATTGGAGATGTTGCCAGCGCTTTATATAATACTAGTTATGCTATAGGAGAATTTATTGGACCTTTATTAGGAGGTGCACTTTCATAATTATTAACCTTTTAAAGGAGTGCTTCTGTTTTTGGAGTTGCTATTATTGCATTTAGTTTATTATATTTATTTTTTGGGGGAGTTTTTGAAAAATTAGATAATGTGGACGAAGAGCTCTAAAATAAAATAAAATAAGAAATTTTACCCTTAGTTTTATCCCCTGCTAGTAGAAAATGTAATTCTAATTTGATGACACCTAGATAAGTTTAATTGAAGGCAAATTTATTAATAGGATCACCTTTTTAAGGAGGATTATAGCCTTTGTTTTATACACCTACACTAAAAAGTGAAGAAGGAAAGCATAATTTCGTTATTAAAGGAAAACATGGATATAAAAAACATAAACATAAAAAGCTTTAAAAAGTCGAAGAACTTGAATATGATTTCGAAGTTTAATTTAATGAATAAAATATTGATTGTAAATACGATTCTTTAAGAAATAGTAAAAATAATGTTTGAATTTTTTATAAAAGATTTTTTTATAAAAGAATTTTTTTTTTAATCTTAATTGATTTATATATTTGTATATATAATTATTCAAATAATTTTATTTTTGTTTTTTTAACTTATAAAATCTTAAATTATTTATACATAATAAATATCTTATTGTAAATACAATTTAAATTAATATCATTTAAATATGTTTTTATTTTCTTTTCAATTTCTGATAATTAAAATATTTTAATTTTATTAATTATTAATTATTGCTTTCATTTATTTTAATTTATAGTTAAAATAAATAAATGAAAAAGTCAAAATATTTAATATATGCATTATATTTAGGACAGTTTATATTAAATGCTTCTAATTCAGTAATAGCACCCTTTTTTCCTTAAATGGCAGAAAGGTATGGAATATCATAAATAGTAATTGGAATAATTTTTAGTATACAACCTGTAGGAAATTTTATTTTTTCTTTAGTTTTAGGAAAATAATTATCATAAAGTAGTAAAAGAAAAAAATATACCATATTAGGTATAGTTTTAACATGGGTTGGGTTGTCTGCATTTATTTTAATAAAATATATAATAAATGAATATATTTTTATTACAATTACATTAATAGCTAGATTTATTTTGGGAATAGTATTTTTTAATAATTATATTATAAAATTTAAATATAATTTAATTTAAAAGGGTGCAGCCTTTTTTAGTACACCTGCATATTCATATTTACCAATATTTTATAGAGATACATTTGAAGAAAAATGTGGTTGGATGGAAACTATGTGTGGATTGGGTTTAATGATAGGTCCTTTATTGGGTGCTTTATTAGTTTATTTTGGAGGTTATATAGCTCCTTTTTATTTTTTTGCTCAATATGTCTTATATTGGTAAAAAAAACTATAAATTTAATTTTATAGATGAAAAATTAATAATAAAAATAAATATATTTAATATATATATACAGAAAATATATATTTATATATTTATATATTTATATATTTATATATTTATATATTTATATATTTATAGATTCCAATCTTAATATAATTAATACCTTCGTAAAATGATTTAAATTATCAATAAGAAACTCTCATAAAAGATTAAGAAAGTAGTAAAGAATAAACTATTGAATTAGACGAAGAAATAACAGAAGAAATAAATATATCTTATATAGATTTATTTTAAAACAGATATATAATTTTCAATTATATTCTTATTTTTTTACCTAGTTGTGGTTTATTATTTTTAGATCCAACTATGGGTATTTATTTTAATAAAGTATATGGATTAGATGATTTATGGGTTGGATTATTATTTTCTATAGGAACGTCTACATATTTATTTTTATCTCCTTTAGGGACTTATATGATTAAATTTTTAAATAATTATTCTCTATTGTTATTTATAGGAACATTTATTACTGGATTGTCGTTTATTTTTTTAGGTCCTGATCCTTTATTAGGACTTCCTTAAAAATTATATATAACATGTATAGCTAATGTTTTTATTGGAATTGCAACTCTATTTATATATATTCCTGCTCTTCCTTAATTATATAAAATATTATTAAGAATTTACGGTAAAAAATTATAAAATTAATAAATTATTGGTGATATTTCTAGTGCTTTATATAATACAAGCTATGCTATAGGAGAATTTATTGGGCCTTTATTAGGAGGTGCACTTTCTTAATATCTAAGTTTTTAAAGAGGTGCTTCTGTTTTTGGAATCGTAATTATTGCTTTTAGTTTAGTCTATTTGCTTTTTGGAGGAGTATTTAAATAATCTGACTAAATAGATAATGAATTCAATATTTAAATTAAGCAAAATAACTAAATTCCTATTATATTTTCTCCTGGATCAAAATGTGATTCACAAACTATAGTTTCTTAATAGTAATAATTAATTAGAAGTAACTTTTAATACGTTCTCCTGCATAAGGAACAAAAAAACCACTGTTTTATACGCCTACTCTTTAAAGTGTAGAATAAAAACATAACTTTGTTATTAAAAATAATAAAAAAAAAAAAAAACTTTCTTATGTTTAAGAATAAGAATATGATTTTGATGTTAAATTTAATTAATCTAACGATAATTCAAATTAATAATCTGATATATAACGAAGTATTATTGATTGAATAAAATAGATATTTATATTATTAATATAATTATAAAATTAATAATAATAAAATTATTAATGTTTTTATATTTAAAATTATAATATAATTTATTTATACATAATTTTATTACATTTATAAATAATTATTTTTTATTCTTGTTTTTATTTATATAATATTTTAACTATGCTTAATTTAATATTGTTAAAAATAAATAAATTAATTAATTAATTAAAGTAATTTAAAAATCATGATTTGATAAATTTAACTAAAAATATATAATTTTTAAGTTTTAAAATTTAAAAATTTTTGAATTTTGAAAAAAAAATATTTATTAATTTTTTATTTAAATTTAAAAATTTATGATATTTTTATTGTAAATATTTTTTTTAACAAATTAATATAAATAATTAATGTATATTTTAAAATACTTTAAATAAAAAATTATCTATTTTAACAAATTTATATATTTTATATGAAAAATTCCAATTAAATTAAAAATATTTTTATTTTATAATAAATTAATTTTATTTCAAAAATTAATAGTTATTTTATATAAATTAAAAAAATAAAATAAAGATATAAATATTAAAATAAAACTCGTAAAATTTATATTATATATCATTTGCAAATAATTAAGGCTTAAAATATATAATATTTATAAAAAAATGAAATAAAATAAACAAGTATTATTAATTTATTATTATTATCACATTAATTAAAATACTTTTTTTTGTTCATTTGATATTTTAAAAATATTTGTAAAATAAAATTAAATATATAATTTATTAATAATATAAAATAAAAGTATTTAAAATTCAATTAATTTATTAGAAATTTATTTTATTATATTAAAATATCTATTTTCATTTTAAATATTTGATATTCTCTTTTTGTTAAATATACAAGCTATTATTATTATTATTTACGCACTTTACATATTTAAAAAAATAATATTATATAAGCTTTAAATAAATTAATAATATTGTATAATAATCAAAAAAAAAAATATTAAATAATTTTTATATCCATAAACAATAAAATAATAAATAATTAAAATATAAATAAATAAAATATATAAATTAAAACAAAAATATGTTAGAAAAGTAACATCAAAAAAACATTACTATAGAAGATTTTACATTAATAAATATGATTGGAGAAGGTGCATTTGCAAAAGTATATTTAGTTCGAAAAAAAGATAATTAAAAAATATATGCTTTAAAAATATTGAAAAAAAAACATATAGAATAAAAAAATATAACGAATCGAGTTATTCTTGAAAAAGATATTTTATCTAGTATACCACCTCATCCTTTTATAATTAAATTACATTATTCTTTTTAAAATTAAACAAAATTATTTTTCGTATTAGAATTTTGCTAAGGAGGAGAATTATTTAATATTTTGAGTTGTAAATAGAAGTTTGATGAGGAATAGTAATAAATTTATATTTATTTCTTTTTTTAATTATTTATGTTTTTCAAATTTACTATAAAGAGCAAGATTTTATGCTGCTTAAATTATTTTGGCACTGGAACATTTACATAATAATAATATCATATATAGAGAGTACATTTATTTATTTCTAGTTTATTTTTAAAATATATAACATGAAAATTTTTTTAAATAAAAGCTTAAAACCAGAAAATGTTATTTTAGACAGAGATGGATATATTAGAATATCTGATTTCGGACTCTCTAAAGATAAAATAGATTAAGAAAAATTTACATATTCATTATGCGGAACTCCAGAATATTTAGCACCTGAAATATTAAAAAAATAAGGACATGGAAAACCTGTTGATTGGTGGACGTTAGGTTTATTCTTTATATAGACATTATTTATTTTTTTATTTTGTTTTTCTTAAGGGAATTTAATATATGAAATGGTTACAGGAAATCCTCCTTTTTATATGACAAATGAAAATAATACTGATGAATTATATTAAAAAATATTAACATAAAATATTTAGCTTCCATCAAGTTTGTCGAAGCACTGTAAAGATTTATTAAACAGATTATTTGAAAAAAACCCGTTTGTAAGACTTGGAATTAACGGAGCAGAAGAGATTAAAGATCATCCTTGGTTTATGGATGTTGAATGGGATGTTATTTATAATAAATAATATGCAGCACCATTTATTCCTAAAGTTAAAAACGATATTGATGTTAGCAATTTTAGTGATGTATATTTCTTTTATTGTTCTTAAATTTTGAAACAATTAATATTACATATTTTTTTATATAAAAGAATTATGTAAGACAAGGAATTATTGATTCATATAATGACGGTGATATTTATAAAGAGTTTCCAAGTAATTTAATTATATACTTATAATTTACAAATAATATGAAATTATTTATTTTGTTTATTTTATAAAAAGATTTTTCATTTGCTAATAGTAGAAGTATGCTAAGTCAAAATAACATGGATTTAGAATGATTAATTTTTACTTTTTAATTTAAGAAAAATAACTTTTTAAAAAATTAATTATAAAATTATAAATATATATATATATATTATTTCAGATATATTTATTAATGGATTAATTTTAAATTTTTTATATCATTCATTATCTATTTAAAGCAAATATTTTAAAAATTATTTTTTTTATCTTCAAAATTAATCTTTTTTATGAAATAAAAAGATATTAAATACATATTTTTTAATTTTACTTTTTCGCTAGAAATTTCATTTAATTTTTTATAAATTTTTTCATGTTCTTAATTATATTCGCTAAACTATATTTATAGTATTTCAATAATAATATTGATTTTTATTTACTTTCATACTACTTTTTTAATCATTTTCATAAATAGTTTTATTTGAATTTTTAATACTTTCTGTAATATTTTCATAAAATTTTGTTATGTCATTTTCAAACCTTAAATTTTTTTAAAAAAATACTTATTATAAAATATTTCTGAAAATAATAAAAAAAAAAACATAATTGCAGCTTCTTAATTAAATGAATTTTTAATTTAATAATAAGACATATCAATAAAAATATTTTTGGCTTCGTTCAAAATTGTATAGACAAGGTGAGTTGTGCCATATTTCCAATTTTTGCATATGAGCTTATAATTTAAAAATAATTAATATTTTTAATTATAAAATAAATAAATTAAAATACACTCAAATCTAATTCTCCTGTTTCATAATTTATTAAAGGGTGATACATTTATTAAGGTTTAAAAGTTAATTTTGGTGGTTCTAATGGAAAGCTTTAAGGAAAATCTAATTAAAATTTAAATTTGCCATCTTTATATAACCCGTTTCTAACAAATATTATGCCATGCCATCCTTATAAAGCTTAAATATAATATTTAAAAAAAATATTTTACTATTTATATCATCTAATTAAGGAATTATATACATTCCATTTTATTATCCATATAATAGTAGTAATTTACTATTTTTTTATTAATTTTTAATTATACTATTATTTTAAATACTATTCAAATAAAATTGTATGATTCCTAATTTATTCGTTTGTTAATTACTATCTCATTTATGGAGATATTTATATTAAAAACTCATTTATATTATTTTATAAAGCAGAGTCCATTTTTTTAATAAAATAAAAATAATTATTTATTAATAAATAAAATAATAATAATAATTTAAAAAAAATAAAAAAATTAAAAAATATTTAAAGAAATTTAAATACATAAAATAAATAAAAAATTAATATTTTTTATTTGAAATAAAATTATTTAATTTCTTTTTTTAAAAAAATATATTATATTTGAAATAAAAAAAAAATCATTCACAAAGTTTAAATATACTTTTAAGATTCCTCATTTAATATAAATGTCTTGATATTTTATTATTACCAATTTCCGATATTTAAAAGTGTATTTTTAACTTAAGGCATGATATCTACAAATGCTTAATTTTATTCTTTATAAAGAACACACAAAAGTTCATGTAAATTACAAGCTTCTTCCAAATCTTCTTTAATAGGCATTTTTTCAAATGATTTCAAAAACAAGTTGTTTTTTAAGCCTTAATCATTAATTTAATACAAAGCAATTTTGAAAATACAGGCAATAACATTTTCAAAAACAGTAGATTAACTACTAGTGTATAATTCATTTAAAGTTTCCAAAGCTAAATTCAAAAAAGGAGTAAATTATTCAACAGAAGCTCTTTTTGCGCATAATCCTATTCCAAAAACACTACTTTATTTAACATTAGAATCTTAGTAATTTTTAGCTAAATCAATAAATTTAGTTAATATATCAGGGAAGGCTTTACTAAATAATTGTACTGAACAATATTATAAAAATTCATCAAAAGTACATAAAGAAGTATTTAATTCACTATCAGTAGAATTCTCTTTAGTGAAAACTTCAAAAAAGTCAGGAAGAATGCTATTTACGACGACGTTTTCCAATGTAGGGAATAATCTTACTATTTATCCAATTATATCTATCATGTTTTGCATTATTTCATTAGCTTCATCGTATTTTTCCTCAAATTCTTCTTAAGTGGCCTCATCCATGTCTTCATTAGCGTATTCTTTTTTAACATCTTTTTTCAAGAGTTTACATAAAGATAAACTTTCTGAAAGACATTAAAGAATTTATGTTCCGAATTCTGTATTTAAAGTTTCTTATGATTAAATAGTTTTGAAACATTCAGCAAGATTGGCTTAAAGAAGTACTATTTCTTCATCATTTTGAATTTTTATTGCATTTTAGAATTATTAGATTACTTTGGGAACTATTTTATTTAAAGCTACAGTTCTTTCTTGTATAGGTAAAGCTTATAAAATTGTAACTAAAGTTTTTATTGAGTTTTCTTTTATGGCTTTTGAATTTCTATAACTCATATGTTCGAGTAAAACATCCAGAGTCTATTAGGCATAAGGATAAAATGAAGTTTTAGTAGCATTAGCTATTTAATATAAAGAGTGGAAAGCTTCTATTTTTTATTCCAAAGCTGCTGTATTTAATTCTAAAGTTTTCAAACCTCCCAACATATGTAAATCAAAGGTAACCTTTTGAATTTTTCCATTTGTAGTATTATTTTTAGTTTAGGCTGATAAAGGTTCATCTATTTTAGCTTCAATAGATAGAGTTAAACCTTAGAAAACATAAGGAAATACTAAAGGAAGATAATGTGAGAAATCTCCTTACATTGCTTCTGCAATTTATCCATAAACAATAAGAATAGGAGGGTGATGAAGATCATCTTTTTCCTAAGAAAACTATTTTTACATTCCAATTAGAGAATTCATAATAACAGTAGAATCTTTTTAGAATAACTCTTTATTATCTTTTATTGAAGTTAGTAAATATCCTATACATTCAATAGTATGAACTCTGAGACTAATTTATTAAATAGTATCCCTAGGGACTGTACTTAATAAATTTTATAAACCAGGCATGAATGAATTATAGAAAGTAGTAAAATGCTTTTATAAAGTAAATGCAATAGTGGAAAGACAAATTAAAGTTTCCTCAAGTAATCTTTAGTTAGTATTAGTAATATTTTATTAGAAAATAAGAGATATTTTAGACAAAATATGTTCTGCATTAGAATTTAAGGGTGTATTTTTATCTTCGAGATCTTTACAGTAATTTATTATTGATTAAATTGCTCTATATTGGAGTTTAATGTTGGTACTTTCTAAATTTTAAGAATAGTCTAAATAATGATTTCGCCATAGTTTCTTATAATTCAGGTGTGTATTCAGCTGCTAATAAAGAAAAAGCTGTTAAAGCAGCATATTATATACGAGGGTTTTCCTAATTATTATGCACTGCCTATTTAATCATCAAAACCAAGTTTTATAAATCTTCCTATTTGCAAATTTCTTTACTTCCTTCAGCTAGATAAGCAATGGCGTTTATTCCGGCGCATTAGACATTCCATTAATTATTTTAAAGTACAGCTTCCTTTATTAAAGGTGCAAAAAGTGGGAAAAGGAATTTATTTCCTAACTCATACCCAATTTTAGCCAAAGTTTCTTCTGCAGCTGAAGCTGCATCGTTTTAGGAAAGTTTATTATCTTCTAATTCCTCAGTCCATTCTTCTAAGGAAAGTTGAGAAGACTCTGCCATTAATTTCATAATAGAAAAAATAGTTTTTTATTTAAAAACATCACTTTTTCTAACTTAAGCATTATTAGTAGCACATAAAGTCAATATAGCTGTTAATGCTTTAATTCTAATGGCAGCTGAGATAAAATTGTCCAAAATTTCAGTAAATAAATTCAAGAAATCATTAGTTATTTATTTAACGAATTTAGGGTGAGTTTCTATTAAATCAGTGATAGAAGTAAGACTAGTTAGGCCACTTTCTTCATCTGCTTTGAGGCAGTTTACACATTTTGAGATTAAAAGTGGAAATACATCAGAGAATTTTCTTAAGTTATTTTCATCTTCAATAGAATTTAAGAATGTTACTAAGCTTTTCAAGGATAAACTTTATACTAAAGGGTCTTTGTCTTCTAAATAATGCATAAAAATGGATGAAATTTTAGAAGAGTTTTGCATTAATTAAGTGTCATCAAATGAATATTCGCAAGATATTTCAATTAAGTACATTAATCCTTTCTTTATATTTGATTCGGTGGTCTAACTATATTTTGTTATTAAGTTTATTAAATTATCAGAAGAATTAGATTAAGTGTATATCTTAACAAGGATTTCGAATACACGTTTCAAATATACTACTTTGCGTTCAGCTGTTATAGTTGATTCTAGAGTTTGAGTCATTTATTAGAGAATGTCTTAAGGGATTTTTTATAAATTTTCAGTCTTATCTATATATTGTTTTTTTAAAAGGATAGCAGCTAATTCATTGCACTTTTTTTTTTTTTTTTTTTTTAAGAAATTATATATGGGATATATTTACTTCTGGTTTGCGTAGATTTAATGCAGATAAATATTCGAAAATACCTCCAGTAAAATCTGCAGAGGGAATCTAGTTTAAAAATTCTTCAGCTGATTTTCTTTTTACTTCTTCATTGCAAAAAAGGAAACTTTCAAGAGCTTCTGATATATTTTAAAAGGCAGTTGCCATTATTATTTTATTTTATTTTTCTTGTTATTTTTTTAATTTTATTTTTTGTCTTTTTTTTTTTTATTATTTTTGTAAATTTGTACTTTTTTAATATGTTTTTTTGTCTATCCGCAAAATAAAAATTATTCAAATTTGGAGGGAAAGAAAAAAAGTGTTTGTAAATAAAAACCGGTTTTTTTTTTATAATTTAATATTATTGTGTTTTTTAATTTCATTATTATTGAAAAAACAAATATTATTCATGTCCTGAAATTAAAATATAAAAGTGAATTTTTACATTCTTAATAAATTAATAGTCTCATTTATTATTTTTGCATTACAATAAAAATAATATATTATAACAAATATGAATAATATTTCCATAATTTTATATTAATAATATAAAATTAAAGGATAAATATAAAAATATAATATTTATTTCTTTGTTAAAAAGTAAGTAAAAAATTATAGTCTATAAACAATATAAAAAATATCCTCTATAAATAATAATAATAAAAAAAAAATCATCCTTCTAAATATTATATATAATAAAAATAAAAATATATTATATATAAAATATCTAAACTTTTATCAAATTATATAAAATTTATAAAATAAAAATATCATCAAAACTAAAATACAGAAAATCCAAAACAAATAAGCAAATATTCATTTTAGTTACTACTCTCTTTAACTAAATCAATAATTCCAAAAGCTTATTTCTAAACTTCAAACTTATTAAATTCAATACTTTGAAACACAGAATTTCTTGTAGGCATTCCGACTTCAATAGATTTTTTAAGATTCGTAATTATTTTAATATACTAAATGAGATTTTTATCTTCATTTAAATAAAATTCAATCTGATTTATTTTTTCGTTTTATTCAATATCAAATTCAATAGTATTAATATTACATTTTATTTTTTATACTTAATTAACATTGCAATTTCCTTCCAAAACTTCTCTTCCAGATTAGTAAAAAGCTTAATATCCAAATATTTTTGAATCTTTCCAATAAAAATTTATTTTATTTATAAGACATTCTCCATTTATTATTTCTGAATCATCTTAAAGCATTATTTAGGAATTAATTTTTCCTGCATATTTTTTAATCATTTTTTATTATTAATTCGTTTCTTCTTAAATAATTGGTGTTTTATATGTTTTTTCTTTACTTTATTATACTATTTATAGATATTAATCTTATTGGATTGTTTATATATATTATGAATTCTAAAACTAAAATGTAGAGAAATTTAGTAAGGGATTTAACATTTTAAACCTAATATTTTGTTTTAAGTTCTCACATAAAGTAATTATTATTTATATTTCTTTTTCATTTTCTTTTATTTGCGTTTAAAGTTTTTCTTTTTTATATGTTAATTCTTATTTTTAGTTTAAATAATTTTTCATTTTTTAATTATGATTTTTTTCTCTTTTTTAAAGAAGCTTTTATAAGATTTTTATTTTTTCATTTACATTAGTATAATTTTCCATAGTCGGACAATTTAAAAATTAAAAAATATCTTTTACATCTTTCTTTTTTTAGTTACTAATTGTGTTTTTCTACTAGCTTTATTTTTATTATGATTGTTATTATTATTTTTATTATGGTGATTATATTTAATATTAAACATACTATTATTGAATATTTAACTGTTCTTATTCTTATATAGGTTACTTTAGTTCTAATTATGGCTATTTATTTTGTTAAGGAAATTAAAAGCTAAGTTATGAATATTTATTTTTTATTTTATCAATCATTTTTTGCTTTTTATCTAAATTATTAACATTTTAATCATATTATTACTAAAGACTTTATATTTTAGATTAAAGGTATTAAATATAACTCCTGGCCTATTAATAATTTTTGAAAACTTCTTCATGATTTCCATTATTCTATTTTTCTAAATTATCTGTATATTTTAAATATACTTTATTTTCAGATTATTATTTTTTTATCGAATCTTAAAGTTATTCGATTTAATTTTTTTTATTAACATTTTCTTCTTATTTTCTTTAAGTTTCCTCTATCAAAATTGATGTTTTATCGAAATTTTGGAGTTTATCCAGTTATTTTTAATAATATTTTTCTTGATTTTCAATGTTTTATAACTCTCTTTTATATTTTATAATTATTTTTTGTTCTTCTTCTTCTGATAATTAATAAGGAATTTATTCTTTTATTTTAGATTTTTCTAATTGTTATGTTAGTAAACTTAATTAATTATTTAGTTTTTAATTTTATTTTTATAATTCATCTATCGCTTAACTATTTTTTTTTATTTGTTCATTCATAACTATAATTTATTCTTTTTGTTTTTTAGGGCTTTCAAATTGTATTGTATTAACTTATTTTTTATTTTTCATGTTTTCTTATTTCTTGCAATCAAATTTAGAATAATTTTTTAGTTTTATTTGTGGTTAATATAATTTTTTAATAATATTTTTATTTAATTGATTAATTTTATATAATAAGTAAATATCTCTAATTTTTTAAAAAAAATTAATAATAACAAAAAAAATTATATAAAAAAAAAATATAAAAAATAATAATAAAATATTTGAATGATATTTTATCGAAAAATATCATTTTTATTAAATCTTAATGATAAATGCAATATTCATGCGTTAATAATTTAAAAAAATAAAAATAAAGAAAATGAAATAAACATAAAATTTAAAATATATTTTATAAATTAAAATATAATCATAAACAATTTATATTAAAAAAATATATAAATTATATTTTAAAAAACATTAAATTTTTTGTTTAGAATGTATTATTCTTTATAAATTTAAGATCAGAAACAAAATATTATATTTTAAATATTTATTATATATAATGAGAAAAAAATAAATTAATACAAAAAAAAGTAAAATTTATATATTTAAAAAGAAAAAAAATAGCATCTAAAAAAAAGAGAAAAAATATATATAAAATATAAAATAAAAATAAAATAATAATAAAATTAAAAGAATTTTTATTTTAAAATGAATTAATTTAGTTAACTTTAATCAGAAGAAGCCTAAATGATAATGGCTCTTGTATTATCATAATAATTAAATGTAATTTTAAATTATTTCATATTAATTTCTCTATTGTTTAAATATTAAAAATCATATTTATATAAATAATATTTAGGTCTCAGATAATTAATAAGATAATTCTGTAAAAGTAGCAATAATATTAATATATTCAATAAAATTGAAATAAATATTTATTATTATTATTATAAAAAAAATATAATAAAAGGTATTTTTAAATAGGTTTATAAAGCAAAATTAAAAAGGGAAAATAATTTCTGAAATTTCTATTAATAGATTTAATATTATTTTATATTAAAGTAATTTTTTTTACTTATTAGAATTTATAAATTATTTTTTTAAAAAAGGCAAAATAATATAAAACACAAATTTAAATGATATTGTTTTAATTTTAGAAATAATAGAAATTTATATTTAAAATTTCGAAAATTTAATATAATTTGAAGGTAGAAAATAATAATATTTCTTTACAAAATAAAAAAATAAAACAAAAAAAGAATTATGGCCAAATATGAAATTATCATTTGCAAATATTTTATAGTTTATTAAATTTTCATTTGAATAAATACAAATTTAAGTAAATATAAAAAATTTATATTAAATATTTATAATATATAAATAATAGTAAAATATAAATGAATATACAAAAGAAATAATTTTGAAAATTTTAGATAATATACTTTGTATATTAAGAAAAATATTTAAATTAAAACATGAAGATATTTTATAGTTAAAAATTGAAAATATACATGAAGTAAAAAAAACAAAAGAATAAATATATTATAATAGTTTTATATAAAAAAAATAGAAATTAAAAGAAAATTAATTAATCATTTAATTATCATAAGAAAGATAAGAAGAAAAAAATTTTGAAAGTGCAATTATTGTTGAAGACTAAAATAATGTAAATTAAATATTTGATTTCAATGATGATATGTAATATATATCCTAAAAAATAATATTAAAATAAATATTTTATTTTATTTTTTTTTAAAAAAAATAGTGTTTTCTCAGAAAATGCTTATTAACATAAAATACAAAGATCTTTTAGAAAATATTTAACTTCAAAAAGTGAATTTATAAAGTAATATATTCAAATAATTTAATTTTTGATAAGAAATAATATATTATAAGAAAAAAATATATAATTAATATTCTTAATTTCTGAATTAATATGTAATAAAAAAATAAAAAAAATTCGAAGAAATTAAAATATAAAAAAAATAGAATAAAAAAATGTTCTTAATATAAAATTTATGAAATATCTATTGGAAAATTTAATTCCTGAAATTATAAATAAACCTACAAAAAGTAATTTGAATTTACTTGTAGAAATAATTTAAGATAAAATCATTAAAGAATAACTAGGAAAAGAATCAAAAGTAAAAAAAATTATTTATTTAATCTACAAAAAAATAAAACAAAAAAATAGCTAGAAACATTAATTTAAATATTAAGAATTTTAGACTAAAATTGGTTTGATAAAAATATTGATTTTTTTTAAGGTTTTAAAATTAAGTTTAAAGAAATTCTTGAATGTTTTTAAGACTTGAATGTTAAAAATACTGAAAAAATTGAAAAAATTGAAATTTTAAATGATTTTTTTTAAATCACTATAACTTTTTTATCAAATTTATTAAAAAAAGATAAAATAAATCCTGTGGCAGAAGAGAAAAGTTCTAAAAAAATAAAAAAAGTTTTCGAAATTTAAGATGAAAATAATCTTTTACTTAATGAAGTTGATTTTTTTTAAAAAGAAATATCTAAAAAAGGAAATTAAGAAAGCATTAAATAATAATTAAATATACTTTAATAAATGTTATAAATATATAAATAAATAAGTGAAAATGAAATTTATTTAAAGGAAATTAGCAATAATATTGATATTTAGGTTTTGGATAATTTCATGTAAATAATGCTTGAATAAGAAAACGAAACATAAAGTGAGCTATGTAAAATAATGTTAATTTTTATAAATTAAAATACTTAATT